ACCATTCAGTTAGAAACTAATTGTCCGAGTTGCGTATAATGGCAAATACTTGCTGATGAAATTACATGGCAGTGCGATAAGAAAAATCATAAATTGATAGTGGGTTACTGAGTTCAATGAAATTAGCTTTGTAGTAAGCGTGCGGTTGTGGTTCATCAGTTTAAACACTCAAGTTACATCCTGAGTAGAGTCTGGAGCTAGTAGTCAGTATTACCCAACCTCTCATAATGTAAGTGTAGCTCACAGCCTGATACACGAAACACATATTCAAGGCAACTGAGTTTAAAGCAGTATCCTGGCCTCTGTGAATCCTATCCCTGGAAGTGGGTTGCGTACTGCTGAAGCGCCTGAAAAAGCAGGATGAGAAGGCTTGTCAGCGTGTCCCCTGATTTTTAATTATTTCTCTAATCGGTCGTAAATGGCCCTTAGAGAAGACTATACACCCAGTACTGTAATAAATCCATCAAACTAGATGACGTTAAGAGGAAACCATAAATTCTAATCATTATCAAGATATAATAAAACTGTTTGTGTATGCATATGTACACATAAACTTCATAAATCCCCCTTTCTTTCTTTATGTTTCTCTTCTCTCCTTAAAGACAAACTTTTCGTTTAATTAATTAAAGAGAGGAAGAATCACATAGGCGAAAAGACTATTTAAAATGAATTAATCTCATTTTATGTCTACAAGGCATATTGATCATTAAAATCTTGTCTTTATTTAGGCAAAATTAAAATTCAGCGGTTGGAAGGTTTAACATTTAAACAAGAGAAGGGGAGAAAGAAAGAAATCTGGAAGAGGTGGTGCTGTATTCAACAGACTTATTACATATAAAGTCCAGCAAAACATACGCATACGTATGCATCGTAGATAACAAATGCAATCACCAAGGCTATGAGAAAAATGAACAGAATGGTGGACTATCCTTATTATTTCCTCGGGTTCATCTCCACGATGCCACTCTAGGCTTCACAGATCTAACCTGTCACTTCCCATTCATATTTGTTGAACAATAGGTTCTTGATTCATTTGTTTCCAGTTTCTTGTTGCTAATCCTTACTGATCGACCATCTGATCATCAGTATGGAACGAATGGTGGATTAGATGCGTGTGTGTGTGTGTGAATATGTATAAGTGTGTGTGTGTGTGTTTCTAATTCATTATTCTTATACACTTCACTTTAAAATCGCGGAAATATGAGCAACTAAGTAGTATGCATCCTCCTCCTCCTCACCATCAGCAATCACACAATACACCTGACTTATCTCCAAGTTCATGTATATTTTGATGCAATTGCATTCTCTGAACTCAATAATTCAACTGTGAAGCTTTCAGTGTCCATCTAGGCAATACTATTAAGCGCAAACATCTATATGAAGTGAACTTATCGCAATTTTTCTAGAGTGTGCAAACCCAATAACAATCGAAATCATTCATCCAAAGTATAATTTTTCTCTATCATTGTTAAGTGAATTTATGTTTGAACTGAAGTGAATTGAACTGAACTGAATTTTCGACATAAAACCGTGCACAAAAGTGCAACAGTTCACACACACACACACATACAAAAGTAGAGAAAAATGATAATTTAATGGATTTCTATGAACGAATGCATTTGCGTCACTGAGCCACATCACCCACTGTGTCTATAGTTATTAGCTCTTAGTGTCTCGATGACTTCAGTCAAAACAGTCCAAGTCTCCCTATTTTCCAAATTTTATTTCTTTGGGTTCCTAGTTGAAAATAAGACTCGAAGCATCAAGTCTGTAAGTTTCAGCAGCAGTTGTGTTTTTACGCTCAGCCTTTTATCCTTCCAAGGCATACTACCGGCTAGGTGACGGGTTTAGAAGTGCATCAGTCGGGAATCGAATCTGGATCACGCACGTGGCCAAACAGAGGGGGTGGTATTCTACCTCTGAGCCATTGACGCACGAAGTGTTATCCATTAGGCCATAAGGAGGCCTCCTTATGTGAATCAACAGTGAAACACTTCACGGATAGATTTCATGCTTTCGCTCTAACCACAGCCGCCCAACTCTTTCGCAGCCTAATCCAATGTCTACCAACATCTCTAGATGATGTAGGCGATGACTTTGCATGCTACAAAACTAGATTGTTTCACTTTCCTCTCCTTTATTTAACACAGTTTAATTGCAAAATATATATTTTTTTTCAAAAGAAGACTTTCCCCTTCACCGTCTTTGCCAAATATTAAAAAAAAGAGGAAATTTCTGCAATTTGATAAAAAGAAAAGGTGCACTGTAAGGTATGCATGTGGTGGTTAGACATGGAATGACTTTTTCTTCTTTTTCACTACCGATCGATATCTCATGGCCGTTTATTTGGTCACTTACTAAGTCAGTTAGTTACTTACATCAATGAAAAATCTACTGGCTAACAACAATTTCATTTGGAGAAATTGTTTCTGCAAAAAGTATATTCTATTTAGTAAAGAGAGAACAAACACAAATATTTACAAATGTTTAAAAAAAATTGTTTAGTTTATTTTTGCTGTTGTTGTACTTCTTTTGTGACTGCTTTGGACATACACGTATGCGTTTGCGTGTGTGTGTTCAGTCGACTGATATGGTATTTGGATGTTCTATTTGAGATGGATTGAACAATTAGATTTTAGGGGAAGTATGGATTTAGCCACAGACTCAATGATTATAGTTAGGTCACCACTGAGGTTAGGTAGATGAGGCAAGTCCATTGAGATGGCCAGGACACGTGTTACGCACACAAAAACCACCGGCTCCCACGTCGACCAATGTTCGCCGACATAGCGTTAGTTTGAAAAAGAGTTAGGTATAGTCACACTAAAGTCCGTTATAAATCCATGACGTGTTTGACTGTTAGTTTGAGCTAAGCAGCGAGATGTCAGTTACCTGGTTGACTGGTGTCTTAGAGATGTTAAAAACTCATGACTTGAGACTGTTGATAACATGGCACAGGTGCATTCACACTCATTTTGAATTCCTCCATGAATTAAATTCTCAGTATTTTTTAGGTGATTATTCATTCTCGTGCAGAAAGTTAGTTTGCATTTTTTTTTCTTTTCACAATCTTTGTGTTAGCTTTTCTATCAAGTGTACCAAATTTGAATTCCTGAAGTTTTGTGCAAAGTTTTACGTTGACAACTCAGCCAGTCAGTCAGTAGTTAGTGTGAGGAAAGACAACCAACCGCCTACAAAGGATACTGGTTAGTGGTGACGCTATCTAATGATTTGGTTGAATTAACAATCCATCGGCTAGTGGGATTCAACACCAATCAACGACCAGTTATTAATGTGCTTGTATATCTCTTGATCTGCAGTTCTTGGGCTTACACACACCAACGAACAGTTTCAGTGCAGAACGAATAGAATCCTTCTTAATTGATATAGAAGCTAACCACTGTGTGCATGCATTCCAGAAGGATAATACGTTTACACAAAGAGAAATAAAAGACAACTGGTAAAAATATACTGAGTCAGAAAAATAAATGACACCAGAGATGAGGATTAGTTAGAAAAAAAGTAATAGGTATTATCATAAACTAATTTTCCCGGGTAGAGGTGCTAGCTCCACGCCCAACATTCGCTCTTTTTTCCCGGGCGAAAGACAGGCTAGGAAACTAGAGAACTAGTAAACTGGGCAAGGTTAGGGTTATGTCAAAAAAATTCAAGGACCTAGCGGTGAAAACCAAAAAACCAAAAAGAAGAGGCTGGCAGCAAACACAGGGCTTCAAGTGAACATAGAGATGACACAGGGGATGAAGATACTCAACTGACCAACAATAACAAGCACCGTTCAACATTAACGGAAGAAATTTGATAGAGGTCACTTATCTAGGAAGCATCGTTTCAACTACAGGCACTCTGAACAGATGACGATATCAAAAAAAAAGCTTATAGGCAATCACGGGGCCAGATGAAGAGAACAGGACGAAATGGAGATGTTCTCTTGAAGTCGTATGCTCCAATTGGAACTCAACGAATAATAATAATTACCACATTCACGTGAATTAAAACAATAAAAGGTGTTTATTGAACATTTTAACAAAATCTCAAGGTGACACATAACCAACATGTGATTGATATGTTAATACAGAAAAAAAAATAACATGACACTAAAATACGTAAATAAATGCGAACACTGTTTATAGTATAAAATTAATGATTTAATTAGATATATATGGCCTGAAATTTAAGTGAAATATCCGTGTCTCTTAGTTGACTTCTACATTGGGTACAAGTGTTACACACTGGTTTGGCTTTATTCAGCCTAGCTATACACAGTTGTCTCAAGTTTAAACACATGTGTTGATGGATGGTTGAAGGTAGTCGACAGGAAATCTTAGACTACGGTGCCACGCTTGTAAGCACTCATCGGTAAAATGTATGTAGCTGCAACTTGGAAAGAACTGATGTCAAACCCATGTCACAGTCAAAGACAATTAATTACCAATGAGCTATTCTTGTTCCCAATGGACCTCTTGAAAGACGACGGTAATGGATACATTTATCGGTCATTGGGGAGAAGCCAATTTTATGTGCCTAGTCTTTAGTGTTAGCGAAAGGTAATCATAAAGCCAGTTGACCAGCTTCCGAAAATAAGCATTTAACGTAGGTCCAGAGCTTCCCGCTGGTTACTTACACTTTATTTTTGCATTCCTTTGCGTTCCGAGTGGAACATAGGGTTTCAAGTATTGATTTTTGGAATTTTCAGTAGCAGTGGTGCTTTTTTATGCGGTAGGACTACTAGCCTTGTGCCTGACTTTCCCTTTTTACCAAGCTTACCAAAAGATGAGCAAGGTTTACTAGTGTGTCGACTGGGAATCGAGTCCCAAACTACGAGCGTGGTTAGAGGGCTGGACCACTGACGAACGTTTAAACATTTGGCTAGTACAGTCATACATTTACATGCACGCATACACATACACATATAGAGAATAATTTTAAGATGAAAATTTTACTGTTATATAATTCTAAAAGAAGTATACTAGAAAACTTACAGAGGATCTGCTGGTGAAAATTCTACAGGTTTCGGTGGTCGTTTAGGGAATTGCCAAAAAGGTGCTAAAATGATAGAGAAAAAGAAAGTAAATAAAGCACAAAACCACGAAAAGCATATCTGAGTATGGCGAAATTCGTAACTAAATATTAAGTCTGATTGATCCATTTAGAGCCAAGTTACCTCCAACTTTTACCGGTCGGTATTGTTCATCATCAGATTTCTGAACTTCATTCTTTATCAAGGTCAAAAGTACCGCACAATAACACACTTGATTCGTGGCTCTATTTTAACCGTGCTTATTGTTGGTTGGTGATGATGATGATCGTATTTCCATTAACTTTAATTTTGTCTTATATAAATAAATACAGCAACTACCATTGGAATAGATCTGCAGAAGTTGAATCTATGTGTTCAGAAGAAATTCATACAGTCATCTGCTTTACTGATACATAAGTAAGCACACTTCAAACTGATGTGTAGTGATGTAAATCTGATGAGTTTGTCTGCATTTGCTTGTTTTGTTTAGTAGCTGTATTATAGCATTGAACACCAATAAGCGTATATTTAGTTAACGGTTTTTGTGCATAATGGTATTAGTCATTTGAAAACTGTAGATGAAGCAATATAGGTGGTCACACTTAAATCACGAATAAGTAGAAGTTGGAATTTATGGGGCAATGTCAAGGGGCTCAGTGCCTAATTGCTCTACGAGCTTGTATTGTACCCGGACAGGTCCTGGGTTTGAGCCCCAGGGGATGCTCGCTGCCTAAGAGTCCTAAACTAGGACGAATCATCTGGTTTTCCAATGGTACTCTAACTGATTTCAGCTCATGATCAAATATGAAATATTTAATATTGTAGTTCTAAGGTTCGAATTATAGGATTTCGTGCACATTGGCAGTTGTACAAATGACCGTGGGCGTAGAGCAGATTAGGAAATTCGGCGCAAAATTCATCTGAACATATCGTGTTTAGTTTGTAAAATACCTCTTTGAAAGCATTTATTCTATATGCCTTAAATAAATACCTGGGTCTATGTAACATAAGGTTGTTCACAGATCAATGTAATTCATGTGCTGATAAGTTTACGTGAAAATGGCTCTTTTTCACTACAGTAGAAACGTTCCAGCTGACAGCTGTAATAAGTAAACTAACTGATTGAGTAAATTAAGGCATTAGGAATCAACCTATTGTTTATAAGTGACTGAGTACAGGATTGCATTCCTGGAGTTACAACACTAATTAGTACCCAGTGGAGTTTGTCAAGTACAATGTGAGGACAGATATTCGACGGTGATATTGCATGGCGACAGCACCACATCACAAAATGAAAAATCTTAGGATTCGTTGATTCTGATACAGTTTGTGAGTAGCAGCCAGCTCACGTTGTTCAATTGCTGATTAGGTCATCAGTTCAACTATTGGAGCGTCCAACACGAGAAGAGTTCTCTGGTTTTGCAATGATTTTCTAACTGATGTCGGTTTGTAACACAAGAAATTCGCACGGTTCCCTTCAAGCCAATACCAACAGAATGATCAATACTGAAGCATTTTCTAGTATTTTTTACTTTTCATCTGGAAACTATAAACATGAGAGAAAAGGAATTCACGATTACATTGTTTGACTATAGTTTGGTGAATACCCTTTATTTAACGACATCAAAATTACTTGTCCACAGAATGCACAATAAGGGCTTTCATATTAGCTATCAGACAAAGATGAAATATAACAGAAGGTAAGCAGATTCATTCGATATTTTTTGTTCTCAATGGAAGTCTAAGTGATGCTTACACAGAAAGATTAGAAATCACACTAACTACTTATGAGTAGTTAAAGCATATTTGGTTAAAATAAATTAAAACTTTTAGGTTAAATCAAGAACTGAGGATAAATCACAGTTAAAGGTAGTACTGGACAGCTGTTCCATCCGTACGAAGCCAGCGCTTTGAACATTTAGACACTGCAATGGAATCCAATGGTCCTCGTGAATAGAAACAAGAACGATTGGTAAGGGTCCTGTACTGCCTAAAGGTTTTCAGTAAGTTAACAAACTTGAAGTCAATCAGATTTGAGCAAAAGGTGAAAATGATTCTCAAGTTGATTTTTTTTTGATTGAAAATAAGTGTATACAGCGATATTGCAGCTAAAAATTACAGAGCAAACCAATGCTTTTCAATTGATATATATGTATACACTTATATCAACAGGGTTGAGATGGAGAGAAGCAGAGAGAGAGAGAGAGAAAGAAAGAAAGAGGAAGAATGGAAGATAGGGAGAAGCAACAGGGAAGACAGAAGAAGAAGGGAGGTGGGAAATACAAGCCTTGCATAAACAAAAGGACATAAGTAATGATTGATAATGAATACAACGTTTTCATTTCGATTCCTTTCTCTCCATCCATCCATCCATGCTTTTACTCTACTAGATTAAATAGTCATTAACATGAATAACAGAGGTCAATTTAATTTCTTATTTTCCCCATTCTAATTAAATAATAATAATAATGAGCCTGATAAAAATTCCTTCTGGTTATATGTTTTCCGGTTAATAACAGATGAACAGAGAGGGGGAGGAACGGAGGGGGTAGGGTTGAAACAGAGACAACAAAATTTAATTAGTTTGCTTAGATTGACTTGAGGAAATCTAGGTGAATAGGCTAAAGCAAATGATAATAATGTATATGAATAAAAGAAGGATAATTTTTACTTCAAAATTTATGCATATGCTACTTCTTATCCTCTTGTTAAGATGGGATGGGAGAAAAAAACTTTTGTCAATTAATTTTTATTCTTTTATGTATGTGGATATATATTTGTTAGTTAATACAGAGGAAAAATTTTTTTGTTATTGTTCTGAACTAATTAGCTGGAATTTATTCATTAAATGTATTCTGCTGCTTAAAAGTGAATATCCAAACTTTTGAAGCCCACAGTAACAGAGAGTTTCATTTCATCATCCTCATTGGTAGTCACATCAATTTTGGCGAAGGCTTCGAGACCGTTGAGTGTGAAGTAATTTGGAAACTGCTTTAACACTACGGCGTGCCCCAAGTCTTTATCAACTTCATTCAACAGCTATTTGATGATGATCAGGTCACATTTCAAGTGATTCACTACAGGAAGGTAAGCGAAACCTTTGAAGGGAAGACAGGAGTAAAACAAGGCTGCCTACTATCATCAACGATGATATGCTTAATTGTGGTGGAGTGGATTACGCGGCAGACTGTGCATGGGAGTGAGAAGAAAGGAAATCTTTAGGCTGAGAAGATTCTAAAGGATTTGAACCTGTGGACAATGTATGTCCAATGTCACACAAACTCGAATACCTGTAGGCGAAAACCAAGAAGCTGGCAGATGAAGGTAGCACAGAAGACAGAACTTCGGGTGAACATAGAGAAGACAGAGGTGATGAAGATAACCGATAACAAACCACAACTAGCACCGATCACTATCAACGGGAGGAATTTGAAGGAAGTCGCCTCTTTCACTTATCTAGGTGGCATCGTTGCAACTGCAGGCGGCACATGTGAGGATGTGAAAGGCAGGACCGGAAAAGCAAGACAACCTTTAAGCTTTCACCACCAGCCATCTTCGCTTCATACTGAAAATCAGATAGCCAGACAGAAAAGATTAGCAACAGGGGACTCTGACAAGGGAATGGAAATGGGTCAGACACACCCTGAGGAGACTGTTGAGTGATATCGCGCGCCGGGCCATAACTCAAGTGAAGCCTGAATGAGAAACGACAAGTTGGCGGAGATCGTGTCAGGAGGAGATGAGGGCTTATGGGAAATCGTAGAGCTAGCTAAAGACGACTGCAGCAAACAGGATTCCACTAGTACCCTAAGAGAATATGTATAATATATATCCTGTGGAATGATATTCTTAATCAGTAATCTATTTATACTAACGTAGTAAAAACACAAGACTACGAAATTAATAAATTATCACAGTATCGATAGAATAATGAAACCAACTGTAACCAGTCAAGAAATACAGCCGTTAGAGACAGTTCTCTCTATAATATCATTATTTTTCAGTAAAAAATTAAAGATAAAACTATCAAAAGCATCCTCTGAATCACTTAATATTGTCAATAGAAAAGTGGAGATAGTCACGAATTTGCAGTTGTCTCATATTCCTAGTTAGGTACTTCTTTGGAAGAGCATAACCTTAGACTCAAGAGGCTCGGGTTAAAAGTTCAGCATGATACAATTCACCCAGAAAGTTATTATCACGACAGAGTTCCAACCTCAAATAATCATCGCTCTGTTGTAAATGTCCAAAGAAGAGATGTAAAAAAAGAAAAAAGATATCACACACTATTTTAGTCATGTCGGTTTCTGAAATTATTAATATACAAAGCCAAAGCTGATCCGTTCACTGAGCCACAGAATCCGCAAACCTGATACTGTTGAAGAGGAGCTAAACACTATGAAGAGAATGCTCCTCGAAAATGGCTCCCCAGAACGTTTCATCACAAAATCCATGAAACCTAAACCACCAAAGCCGCTAACACTTTCAGTTTCCGAAAAACTTTTCTACCGAAATCTACAATTCAATGGATACTCATCAGCAGAGATACTGATTTTACTGCTTGAGAATGATATAGCCGAAAAAAGAGTAACTCTTTGCTGAACACCTTCTATTTCATAACTATTGATATCCTCATAAACTCAATAATCGAAAATCAGAAAAAAACTTCCCTCTGTGTTACTTATCATTAATTACTACCAACTGTCCATTTTTCGCTCCATTGTCATAGGAGAAATGTGCTTACACTTTTTTTCTAGTTGTGTTTTATCTTCTCCGGGTTAGGGGAAATGTTTTACTACTTATGATTTATTAGTTCTAACACATGAATGCGTGTCCCTCTTTGTGTGTGTGTGTGTGTCTGAGTGTGCGTGTTTCCTTCACTGAATATTTCTAACATAGTTCCACAGTAATCACATAAATCCGGTAAGTCAATTAACTATACTCATTTATTATCCAACTCACTATTATTTATATAGTTGACAATCACTGTAGTACATAAAGACATTGACCATAATTATATTTGTATTTTATGTACAGTAGGATGAAACATACTGTATTCATTAAATTACCAATATTACCATTTACGTAAAAGGAGACAGAATCATAATACAATGAGACAAAGCTGCCTACTGTCATCACCGACGATATTCCTAATTGTCGTGGAGTGGGATTATGCGTCAGACTGTGAGTGGAGAGAGAGAAGACAGGAACACATTAGACCGATAAGAAAACTGTAGGAGATCTGAGATTCTCGCATATGATTTATGTCGAATGTCATGCACACTGGAAGAGTTACAGGTGAAAAGCGAAAAACCAAAAAGAAGAGGCTGGCAGCAAACACAGGACTTCAAGTGAACATAGAGATGACACAGGGGAAGAAGATACTCAACTGACCAACAATTACAAGAACCGTTCAATATTAACGGAAGAAATTTGATAGAGGTCACTTCCTTCAGTTATCTAGGAAGCATCGTTTCAACTACAGGCACTCTGAACAGATGGCGATATCAAATCACGTCAGGATCGGAAAGGCGAGACAAACATTCATCACTCTGAAATCACTTCGGAAATCTTCTGCACTCCGCTGCAGCATAAACAACAAAATTCAGATTTTCAACACCAATGTTAGGTCAGTCAGTCAGTCACTGTTTCTATATGAGTCAGAAACTTGATGCCCGTGTCACAAAAAGCATTTCCAAAAGGCTGTCTCGGACTTTAATTAACAGCTGGCTATGCTTCATACTGAAGATCAGATGGCCGGTAAGAAAGAGTTAGCAACAGGACACTTTGGGAAAGAACCAATCAATACCCTATTGCTCAACAAATATTCCGAAGAAAATGGAGATGGATTGGACACACACTGAGAAGACCATTGAGTGACATCGGACGACCAGGCCATCGGCCGAGTGGAACTCGAGTGGGAAAAGACGAATTGAGTATGTGTCTGTATGCGACATGGAGAAGGAAAAGGGAGATTTTGGACAATCGTGGGGCCAACTAAAGTGGACTAGAGAGAACAAGACAAAATAAGATGTCGTGTTGAAGGCCTATATTCCACTCGGAACCCTAAGGAATAATAATAATAATTGATAGTATAATGACCTGGCCTAGTTTATTAGGCCAGAAAAGAAGAGGGAAGGTTGGCCGTAGGTTTGGCGACCCTATGCCGGAAAACTAATGCAACCGCTACATAAAACTTAAGAGCAGCCAGTATATTACCAAAAGAAACAAATGGCAAACTTTCTTTCCTGAAAAAAGTGTTATCTACAAAAATGACAAGTCTGCTTTTATGCCAAACGCCTAATGTTAAAGTAGCTAGCCACAGTTAGGGATGATTTTAATTGACTCTGTCGTCTGAATTGAGTCAATCCGAGTACTCAGGTGATGAGATCAACTAACCAGTGTATTCAGATCGCTTCCACATGCCTAGCAAATGTACCAGTGGTTGACTGGTTTCCACTTACACGTACAAGTCAGTAATGCATTAAAAAATTTTACTCTGTTTATCCATACACACACAACAATACATTAATTGTTAGCATCTCTTATCATAGTTCATTTTGTTTTTAAGACTTCTCAGAGGAGAAAAAGAAGAAAACAACCAGATAGTGAATTTAGATTTCCGTCTGCTGATTTGTTAGTTGCATCAATTTGTCTGAGAAGAGTTGAGCATGAATAATTGAACAGTGAAATTAATTCTTTCTAACTAATTATTATCATTAATATTAACACGAAAAACAAGATAGAAAAATTGCAACAAAAATGAAGAGAAATATAAAGCAGGGGAGGGGGAAGATGCTTTTCATACTACAGTGAATTCCCCGCACGAACATACTCTTCCCTACTACCGACTCACTTATCCCAGATTAATTACCCTTGTCAGTATCTTTACACGTTGTAATATGAGACAAACTGAACATTAAGGACAAATCAATACAACCAAACTAATGTACAGTGTAATATATATATATATATATATGTATATTATATATATATATATATATATATATATATATATATATATATAGTCAGGATGCAATTCATAGATTCATGAAAACGTGTTGACTGGTGAAAAGAGTTGTAAGCTGAAACGTAAAACAAAGTAAATACAAATATTTTACACGATAAGGAGGCCTAAAAATTCTGGTTCCGTTTACTCCCAGTAAAAAAATCAAGTCCCACAATATCCTTCTCCCTATGACAGATTTAAAGATAATTCTTAGGTAACTTTGCACTACAGATGTTGAGGTTTAAAGAGGGATGCCAGCGTGATTCTCATTATGCATTGAACTATTGCGTCCTAGTTAGGGACTCTTCGACAGTACAACGCACCCACCACAGGGGCTCGAACCTAGGGCCTTCCGGTTACAAGTGAAGCTCATATAGTCTTCCGAACACACGGAAACACACACACACAAAGAGTTGACACTTGTAGTAGGCTAATAAGCTAAATAATCTTGACGTCAATGCCTTTGAAATTATACACATATTTTTATGTAATACTCAGGAAAACAAATATCGGTCAGGATGTCAGCAACTTTTGAAAAAAGCGATTTGTATCCTTTTATCATGTAAAGGCAAGTAGATCGCAAACCATCCAACTCGCCTTGTAACCGGAAGCTCCTGAATTCAAACCCCAGTGGGTGCGTAGTATCGAAGAGTCCAAAAATTAGGACTCCCTGCTGGTTTCCCAGTGGTTTTCTAACTGATACCGATCCGCCGTACGTCAAACTTGAAACAAATCAAGTCCCTACAAACTGACTGTTGAGAATCAATTATTAACCGTTAAAAAGACACAAGGAAAATCAGAAGACATTTTATCTGAAAATTTCCAATTATTCAAGTGTTGACTTGCCGGCGTTCGACTGTTTACACAATTTTACCACGAGCTGACATTGATTAGAGAATCATTGGAAAATAAGCACGGAGTACTGGACAGCTATCTCGTCGGTCCAATGGCAGATGAATTCTAACTTATGCCAATTCACGATATGGCGTGACCATTAGCCAATACGTAAGTATAATAAGTCTAATTGGTTGTTTAGACAGGTGTTTTGTGGTGTGACAAGTCACTTACACACATATTTCCGTTAGAAGTCACACGGATCATTCTTCTGAACAAACTTCAGAATTCGAAATTCATTTAAGCCTATAGATAATCAGATGATTCAAACTCATAACTACTCAAGATGAATGAGTTTGGATTAACGCGGAAGTAAAGCAAAGTAATACGTCTCTAATATCTGGACAAAATAAGATCATAAGCTTTCTTTAAATAAGTGAAATCTTCACCTAGACACACACACAAATAAAGAAAACAACAAATCCGGAGACCAGCATAAGGCCAACAGTGAGAATATCACTCTTTTCCATAATCAAATTATAAAATTCCAGAAATCTATAACGAAGAGTTAACCCCTATACTGTGAGTAACACGGATTTTCGACAATGAGTTTTAACAGTTCCACTGGAAAGATTAACACTAAAGTCTACAAAAACTTCAGCTTGATCATATAACGCTGTATATATATATATATATATATATATATATGATCAAAATTTTAAACACCTTCTCAGTACTGCTGACGTCTTTCAAGCATTTGAGAAAAGCAAACATTCTAATTTCTTGAAAACTGAAAGATAGTAAAACCAAAAAAAAAACGAAAAGGAAAAGCAAACAAAAAACTTACTTCCATCTGATAACTTTGTATCGATTGGGAAGGAATGTAACAATTGACGCGCCTACATAATATACGTGAATGCAATAAAAACAAGTAACAAAATGAGGCAAGAGTAGAAGGAGAGAAAGTTAACAAACAAACAAAATGAAATCCTACCAAAGGTTATACAAGTTTACTTCTATCTCAATGATTATGAAGAAAAGAACTTTATGATCGTAATCACTTAGTGGAAGAAAAAAAACACACGCAAAAGAATATCTCTAAATATATGTACATAAAATGTACCGATGTGGTTTTAGTCTCCTTGAAAAGAGACAACAGACTGGAAACATTATTTTTATAATAAATAAATTATAACTGATAATCAGTTCATTTTCACTGTATTAGGCAACTGAAACTTTAACCTGAAAGTACTAGCTTACAACAACACATATGGTGTATATTGGTGTGCTTCATTGGAAATCATTGTTGTACTAATTAATGTAGAAGCATGTATACAGTTCAGGTCGTTGCACTAGGAAGAAACAGACAGAAATGCTCAGTCTGTGGTGTTGACATACCGTCTCCTAGTTCGAATGCTTCGACAATGTTCAAGGAGTAGAGTGAAGTTACTTCAGTTGGTGGTGACTGTCTCTTGTCATACAATGTTCTGACATATGAAACGAGGTGTGCAGAGTTCAAGTATCAATGGGAACGGAATCACTCACGTGGAATGTAGGCAAATCCAGCTGAGTAGTCACTAACAGGACGAAATGAGAAGCCTGGATTCCACTTCTAGTCACTATCAACGCAAATACCTAATCCAATAGGTGGAGTGTGAGGAGAAATACATACATACGTGTTGTTCTATCTACATAAATACATGTAACTGGACAACTATATCGATTGCTTTATTTTCCCCATTTCACTTCACCTAATGTCAGTAATGAAACAAAGATACTCACAGTCGTAAACCTGTTATTTTTCATTTTCATTTTTTTAAAATAAGTATAATTAGAATTCAGTGATAAATGTAATCAATCAAAGTAATTGATGCTAAATTAAATTTATTGGAAACAATTAAATTTCATTAGGGAATAAAAATGAGGAGAGAAAAAACAATCACAACAACAACAACAAAAGAATAATTATTACACAGTGACGCAAAGATACTACTCATTATAGCACACACACCTACCTTGTGATTAAAGTAGTATTCAAATTTATCTCTAGCTATGCATAAACACCGATGCCAGGTAGACGGACGAGAGCATAAAAAGCGTCCAACATTTGGACTGAGTTGATCTTGGATTAGATTTATTCTTTCAATCCATTTGTTCATTGATACTTTATCATTTGCATAAAGTCTGCTTGTAACAATTTCATTGTTATTGTTAGCAGTAGCACTACTTACACTTTCCTTGCATATATCCATTAAAAATGTCAAGTCTGATATAATTGGATGACATGTTTGATTTTCCTGCTGATCAGTATTCCAGGCTTGTAGAAATCCTTTCAATTTCAACGGTTTCAACGTGAATTGGCTTTCAAACTACCATTTTTCAAGTGTATCAAGAGAGGAAACAAAATAAAAACTTTTTTTTAAAAAATTTGATAGCCAGTGAAATGCTGCTATGAATATCAGAAAATAGGGTAAGGAATATGTACAAGTTATCAAGTATAACTTGCACTGGTCTACTATTCACCCGTGACATACAGTTCGTCTGTCTGGATTCAACATAGAACTTGGCACCGAAGTGCAGCAGTTCAAGTTGCCACGTTCCAAATAGCACACAAAGGTAGACAAGAAAATGAGTGAAGAGAATCAATAGAGTTTTGACAAGTATAAGAGTGAAACAGAATGAGTGATGGTAGAAAGGAATGTGAAAGATTACAGAGACTGAATACATCTGCGCCATTGACAACGATTTTGAACCATGTCACCTATTGTCTCCAGTCATTGATTCTTAGAGTCCCGAGGGCCCCAACCCGGAATTCTGCATCTCCCTACCTGACTCAGTTTAACTGTCAAGGATTTCATGGATTGATGCCATGTTTTTGTTTGGCCACCACTTACTCTTTTCCAACCTGCACCTATATCAGCTAGTAATGCCCGTCCGTCGGGGGAGGCGATGGTTAGGCATGCGCAGCACGTGACCTAGCCATCTCAATCTATGCAACTTTATAGCCTCTTCGATTGATTTTCCCTCTTTGCCCAACACTCTACTCCTAACGTCAATATTACTTACCTTATTATGCCACCTAACGTGAGAAAGAGATCGTAGACATCTATGATCAAAAACAGTCAACCTTTTCATGTCTTCAACTCGTATTAGCCATGTTTCAGAGCCATAGAGAAGGACGGAGCGAACTGCTGAGCAGTAAACACGTCCCTTGATTGATAGCCGGATGTCACGCCTACACCAGAGATGGTGTAAGTTAGCGAAAGCAGCTCGAGCTTTTTGGATCCGTGCTGAGATTTTGTCGCCAATCAGTCCGTTAGTGTTGATACAACTTCCCAAATAGGTGAAGTGATCATACAGAAAGAATTAGGAACAAAAAACTCTGGGAACGAACTAACCAAGAAAGAATTGTTCAACAAATATGCTGAGGAAAATGGAGATGAATTGGTCATACGCTCAGAAGACCGCTGGATGACATCACATACCTGATCATAGCTCAAGGGGGACCACCCGAATGGGGAAAGACGAGTTGTGTGTTGGTTCGAGGATGACATAGAAGAGAAGGAGGAGATGAGAGCTTACGGGCGATCATGGGACCAGCTAAAGTGAACTGCACAGAATAGGATAAAATGCAGATGTGCTGTTGAGGCCCTGTGTTCCACTCAGTAGATCGGTGATCAACAATAAAAATAATATTCAACAAGGAGTATCTACAGTCTACAGCGATTCGAACCTGCATTCCCAATTGATATGTTACTAGAGAGTAACCAATATCCCTTATAAAATTTTTAGTGTTATTTCAAACTGGATTCAGTCAGTTATGAATACGAAGTGGTCATCAAGCTAGGTGTTACACTACAGCAACAACCAGCACGGATCCATTAACTTAGGTCTCGTGCTTATTCACACACACCCATTATTAGCAACCATGAAGGGAGTGATTCTCCAGTTGGAGAATGTATGGATTAAAAACACTTTTAAGGTTGAATTCTTACAAATTTAATTTTTCATTGTGAAATTTATCAAGTTAGACTAGAGTAAAACTGCTGGAAGAGGAAATTCCGTCGAAGTTTTTATCGTCACTGAGCATAAAATTCATTAAAACTAATCTGACACAAATTATTTGTTTAAAATAACCACGCTACTAATGAGTAGTTCAACACTTTGTAAAAGAAATACAACTATAAATCAATACTAATCTTAAGTGATATGTATATCTCTGTATTCTTCCGCAGAAAAACATAATAGACAAGTAAAGAGCACGAACTGAAGAAAATAAGATGCGTATTGTGAGTAAAAAGCCATACAAGTTGAAGTCAATGACCAGAACAAGACATGAAATCAATGAGTAGGAGTCTTCCGTAACTAGTTTGAGACATGTAGACAGGCATAGTTCATATGGCTGGACTACTCAATATGTTGGTGAACATAGCAGAAATGTGGTCATAATGAGTATGTATATTTGCACATTAATATCATTCCACTAATAATGCATAACTTGGATTCATATACTGATGGAGTTATGGAAATCTTACTTCATATACAAAGAAGATTCCCATAGAGAAGTCAGTCAAAAAGAAGAAAGAAAACTAAAATATACTCGATAGTGATTCTAACTTGCATAAAAGCAAAAGAAAGACATAAAGAACACTGAGTCGAAACACCAGTGGCTGAACGGTCTACAAGCTTGCCTTGTAACCAGAAGGTCCTGGATTCCAACCCCAGTGGATGCTTACTAATGAATAGTCCCAAACTGGGACGAAACAACTTTCCAGTACTTACTACTGGTTTCCAATGGTTCTTTAACTGGTATCAGTCCGTGGCCAAAAAATAATTTATGTTCTCGTAGTATTGCTTACGAATTAAAAAGACTTAAACTTTAGTCCGATCATAAGGAGATGAGAATCTTCAGGAAATTCACAAGTCATGCTCATGCATTTCATACAGCAATATAGTAGGAAACACTGTTACATTGAACTGAGTTTACAAACTAGAAATATGACTATGCACGAAGGTGCAGCAGTCGAAGTTTGATAAACTCTATAAAGCACAAATAAAGGTAGTAAAAAAATGTGATGAAACTCTAATAAACGATAATTCATGGAAGCAATGAAGAGATTGGAAAAGAAATTAGGGATGGTTAGAACAAAATAATTAATGCATCCTTATTTGTTGGAGAATAGTGACAATTTATTGGATTATTATTTATTGCATCTAAGCCACTGCTTACGATTTTGAGCTTTCTCACAAACAGTCTCTAGCCATTGGTTTTTAGTTCCGAAGACCAGCCCCAACTAGGCACTCCACATCTAATTAAATGATTTAAAACAACATGCCACGTTTTGGAATGAACATCTGTAATTCTGTTCAAACCCAATCATATGTCAGCTAACCTCGCCCAACGTGGAAGGCGATGTTTCGGTATGCGTAACACGTGGTCCTAGCTATGTCAATATATGCACAGCTCAGTAACAACACCCAGTGATTCCTCCTCCCTACCCAACATTCTACGTCTAATCTCCATACTATTCAGCATGTTAAACAACCTAAAACGACAGAGAGTGCTAGAACATCTATGGTCACAAATGATGACCTCCTTCTTCGTATCCTTAACTTTTAACAGAGATTTCTCACAGCTGTAGAGAAGACCGAAGTAAACTGCAGCGAATTACACACGTCCTTCAATCGGTCAAACAGTTATACTGTCATATAGTGATTGTTGCTTACCCCTGAAAGGTAATAATTCTGAATAGATAAGCCGCTATGTACGACTTTCTACAATGCGACAACTAGCAACTCTCTCTAGCCAATGAAAATAAAGAACTCTAAACTCTAACTAAATCTAGGGATATTTTCATTCATCTTCCGATTAATAGAAAACAACAAAAGAGCTAAACTGAAGTATTTTTCTGGATAATATATATATATACTAAAGGAAGACAGGTTGTTTTTGCATCAGAGGACAAATTGATTAATAAGTTATATAATACGTTATAAGCTTTTGGTTTACACTCAACACCACCATACCCATCAACTCCTCATCTTCCTCCCTCCATCCTCTACTACTACCCATAAGATCCATTTAATCCCCCCAAAATAAAGATATATTGGGTAACAGATTTTACAAATCAACAACTAATTCATTTATATTCATTCAACCTATTTCCTTTTCCCTTCTTTTCCTAATACAATGACATAAAATTCATAATGACTAGTAGGAAGGGGAAAACAAATTAGAAGCAAAAGCCGGATCAATACATATGAAGAGTTAAATAAGCAGAGAGAACGAAATGGGGATAGACGAAATGTGATGAAAGTAATCAAGATTACTCTGATGTCCAAAAAACAGATATATATATATATATATATATATATATATATATGGATCAGTGAATAGTATAGTTAGATAATCAATATTCAGACAAAACAGACAGACTTTTGGAGTCCAGGTTTGCTAAAGAGGAATATATATATATATATATATATATATATATATATAATTAAAGCGCTTATTAAGCAATTTGGAATGTGGGGTAAAAAGAATAAATGTTCGACTTTCAGCTGTCATTTTTCAGGAATAGTGTCACACTTACACCGCTGATAGGCGTAGTCTCGAACAGGCGAAGTGGTCGTCCGATGTTCAAATTACCTCGATAATCTAGCTATCAAGCATTACTGAATGATACCATTGGTGTCTAACTACTCATGCCTACCGATCAGTAGTATCTAACGGGTACATTTTGTTTAAAATACTTATACTATTTAACCAGTAGTTCAGTTTATTTGATTTCGCTATCAAAATAAGCCTCATTCAGTGAATTTTCGGTGGATAGGTCAATAGGTGTGTTACACGGTCAAGTGTGTATAGTTGTGCATCGTTATTGACTTGGATTCCGTGTTTAGTTTTCCATTACTCCCGTGACTATAGTAACCAACGAATTGAATGAAAGACATTGGAATGATACTCGTGGCACACGTCAAAGACACAGAAGCTGGTGTCCTACGATGCCATTGCTCGTCAAACGATGACTTCCAGAATTTCTGAATACTCATGTGAGTGTGTTACGACCGGATTTCTGTTCATTACAGCTAAAATCTATTGTATATCCCACAATGTACTACAAATCAATTTTCAGCAAGTAAAGATTCGAGGCGACAAAACAGATGAGAGAAAGAGGTAAACAGGAGATAAAGGAAGAAGCAGAAGGAAACTGAAAGGAAACTTATTTTAGATGAAAGGCATACAAATAATACTACGTACAAAGTTAATATACATATGTATATAAATATATATAATTGCATATATATTATTAGGAACGATTTTAACATCTCACCTACCCCGAAAATCTGCGTACCATATTAGTTATTCTCGCAGATATTTCTGATCAATATTTTCACAAGTAGTATTCCAACGTGAATTTCCTCACGAAGATATTACAGAACCATTGAAAGCTAAGGGGGACAGAGCGATTGTTTCCTTCTAGTTTGGACAGTTCTTCAGGAGCACATGAGCGTGACACCATCAAGGATTTAAAACACGTCATCAGTTTTAAGAAGCAAACACAGTAACACTAACCAACGGAATAGTCTAAACTCAGTAAACTGGACCGAACTATTCATGTGCCAGGCTAAGATAAGTGTAAGACTTACAGATTGTGGGAATGCATAGTTTCATATTAATATGAAATTACTGAGCTGGAATCCTATGATCCGTAAATTCTAACTCCTATCATAAATCAGCTATGTGCAGTGCCAGCATTATTCAATGTCATGGCTTATTACAAGTCCTCAGCAGGCAAGATTAAGGGGACCCTAACACACTGCTCACGACTTCTCATTAAAATTGGTAAAGTACTTTGCTCACAACCTACAGGTCATAGTTTCGATAACCATAATAATAATAATAATAAGCTGGTTAGTTTCACTGTGAACCCTTTATTTTCCTTCTAGACAGAAACTTCAGGGAAAATAGCAAAAAGAAATTGAGTTATGAAATCATCCACAGATGAATGAATGAATCAGCACTGTATTTGATGAGTTTGAATGTAAGCGGTTGTCTCAAACGACTAGGAAAATGTACACATTTTAAACAAAGGGAAAATACTAGTGAATTACTAGAAGCAAAGTCGAAGACGTCGCATTATCAGGGAGAGAATAAAGGATGCACTGGATGCCGAACTCCGCCACCCTCCAGAACAAGCTGGCTATATTCAGGAAAGGCAAATCATGTGCTGATCAAATTGCAACTCTACGCATCGTCCTCACAGAAGAAAGCCTAGAACGCCAGTCAAACCTCTACCTCAACTTCATCGACTTCGAAGAGGCCTTCGACAGACAGCACTGACAGAGAAATAATTCGGGGAATGCCTCAACACTATGGCGTGCCTGAAGTCTTTATCAGCGTCATCCAAAAGCTATGTGACAGTGGCACGTGTCAGGTGATCCATAACGCAAAACTCAGAGAGGCGTTCGGAGTGCATACAGGAGTAGGACAAGCCGCTGCCTATTATCACCGATTATATTCTTAATTGTGGTGTACTGGATTATGCGTCAGACTGTGGGAAGTGAGGAGACAGGAATACGCTGGATCACCGATAAGAAGACTCTAGGAGATATGGATTTCGTAGATGATATATGTCTAATGTCACATAAACTCGAAGACTTAAAGGTCGGCGAAAACCAAGAAACTGGCTGAAGAAACAGGCAGCGAAAACAGGACTGCAAGTGAAAATAGAAAAGACAGAGGTGATGAAGATAACTAACGAACCGTAACAACAACAAGGACCAACCACCATCAACGGGAGAGATTTAACTGAAGTCATCTCCTTCACTTATCCGGCTAGGAAGCACGGTTTCAACCACAGCCAGAGGATCGGCTGAAGATTTCAAAGGCAGCCAGCCAGAGTCGAAAAGGCAAGATACGCCTTCATCAACCTGAAACCAGTTTGGAAATCTTCTTCACTGCACTCAGCCTCAGCATACGGAACAAGATTCGGATTTTTAGCACAAATGTGAAGCCAGTCGGTCCTTCTATACGGGTCAGAAACTTGCACTGCATGTCACGAAAAGGATTTCTAACAGGCTGCAGACTTTTATCAACAGCTGCCTTCGCTGGCTCTATACTGATTGGCCAGAAAGAATTAGTAACAAGAAACTCTGGCTGGGAACGAACTAACTAAGAGCCGATCACTCTACATATATATAGGAGAAAATGGATCGGGCATACATTGAGGAAACCGTCGAATGACGTCGCGCGCCAGACCCTCGAGTGGAATCCAAACGGAAAGTGAAAAGAGTTGGTCGTTCTAGGGTGACATGGAGGAAATTATGTGAGTAAGAGATGAGAGACTATGGGCAATTGTGGACCCAGACGAAGAGGATGGCAGAAAAAATAGAAGTGGAGATGTGTTGTTGAAGCCCTATGTTCCACTCGGAACCCAAGGGAATGATAATACTAATAATAATAATACTAGAAGGTTGGTGTTCAAAGAAATTATTGGCAATAATCAACAGACTTGGTGAAGTCAATAAGGAGTAAGTCACACATATTATCGAGTCAAACCTAGACAGCCAACTTTCACACACTGCGGTTAGTTACTGTTTCAATCTCTAGTCCACCAAACGAGGGATCAGGCAGCCAGGGAGGCGGTATTGAAGGCACATACACCCAACAGATGTGATTGATCGCCAAGTAGGTGCATGTGTAAATACAAATGATCGTTAAGTACAACACTGTTCATTCATCCTATGATAAAACAGTTCAAAGTGATTTAAAAATAAGGAGAAATCAAGATAGATAAGTATAAATTAGCTTACTTTTTCACGTGCCCATTCAATACAATGAACAGGTTGTGTAGGAAATGATTTCAATGTACAATATGGTATTGAATTCGATTGACTCTCTGTACTTCCATTACTACCACTATTTACATCATTATGATCATCTCTTTGACTATTATATGATTCAGTTAAATTTGGTAGAATCACTTGTACATGACCTTTAGTGCCTAATGTTCCAGATTCAAATAATGGTAAGTGTAGGGTTACACATCGTGAATCTAAATAACGACGTGTAGCTATACAGTCTAAAGCGGCTAAAACAACACCACTGGGTTGAACAGTTGATAAAGTAGACTTGTTAATTGCTTTTACTAAGAATTCATCAGTGAAAATTGATTTTTCTGTATCTGGCCAAACTGAACAAAAGAGATAAAGCGGAGTAAAAGAAGAAAACACGGGAAACAGAAGAAGAAGATTATGATGATGATGGTATTAAGGGTATGCAGGTGAATGATAAAATGGCTTTCCTTAAAGAAAGAAAGACCAGATTTGCAGTATAAAATGATATCGTCATTCTATTTCACAGGTACTCATCAGTTGCACACACCACTACCTGAAATTATAATGGTTATATAAAAGAATACCAACAACGTACTTCACTGTTTGAATGGCAGAAGAGAAAACTTTATAAAATCAACGCATCCGAAATATGAGTATTAAAACTGGTTTTAGTGTAAGTTACCATCAATTTATATGCCTTTCAAAGTAGAAAAGATGCCTCGTTACATCTAAACTGGTAACGCTATACAGCACCACATGCTCTATAAGTCAATTCAAACTGATGTCACTTCCAACTGCGTTTATAAATTTCTATATACACTTGCGGTACACTTGCAGGTACATTAGAAGAACAGAAAGAAGCTCTTCTATCTGGTTTGCAGAGTATATCCCATATTTTCGCAAAGTACAAATACCAAACATCTTGTGGATATGGGTTATTTTGTCGAGATTTCTAAATTCTTCAAAATATTAAACATAAACAAAGGACAGCAAATTTACTATGATTTACTGATGAAACGATTACAGTCAAACGTTGTTTCAAACGAAACTTATGCGTACACAGAAAGAGAGTGTAACCAATCTCCCACTCCGTTGGTAACTACACTTTGATTACAATGGTCAGTCATCTATATTAGTGATTTCAGTTCACTGAGCAAGTTTTCAGTGTCATCAACTTTAACCTGCTTGATCTGAGCTATATGAAACTACGTGCTAACACTGTTTATTAGATTTTTCTCTCTTTTCCTCTTCCCCTCTCCCTTATTTCCATTTTGAATGGCATATAAATTGATGGTAACTTACACTAAAACCAGTTGTAATACTCATATTTCAGATGCGTTGATTTTACAAAGTTTTCTCTTCTGCCATTCAAACATTGAAGTATGTTGTTGGCATTCTTTTATATAACCATTATAATTTCAGGTAGTGGTGTGTGCAGGTGATGAGGACCTGTGAAATAGAATGACGATATCATTTTATACTGCAAATCTGGTCTTTCTTCTTTCTTTATCCAAAATTAATAAAGGGAAGTAAAAAACAACTATGAAATGACTTTTTTCTTACGCGATAAGTAAATTCAACCGTCGACGTCATAAGATGAAAACAGGAAAGTAGAAACACGAATGACAGGCGACTAACTAAACATACATATAAACGCATTGGAAAAGGAAAATGTATGCTTTTACTTTAGTTAGAACACTAATAAGCCTTTTTCTCATTGTCTCTCTCTCTCACACATTTACTCACTCACTTAAGATTCACTAACTAAATAAATCGTAATTTAGAATACTTTTTGATGCTAAATATTAAGTTGTTAAAAAGTCAGTAATCGGTTGGGGAGGTGGAGGAGGAGGAGGCGTAGACTTGTATTTTGCTAGATAAATTAACGTTAGAGAGTGCATCCAACGCTTTAGGTAAATGTACATTCCATTTACATATGAAAACCCCTCTCTCTCTCTCTCTGTCTTTCTGCACCGAAAGTAAGAGACTGTATCACTAAGTTGATGAAGTAATTAAACGGAGACATGGAATACACAATTTGTGTCTCTGTCTCTCACGCACTCAATCAAACAAACATACTCACAAGGAGTAGGAATCACTTTCAGTTAACCACTCAGTATATATGAGATACAAAATGCTGATGATATCTTAAAGTTGTTTGGAGTTTAATTAATCTCTGTAATGCTTTTTAAATATGCGACTCAGTCAGTATACGTGAATTGTGGTGTAATGTACGTCAGAGATAAACATGGAATTAACTGATATATGGTCTACAGAAGAGTTTGAGGGACAAAGAGATAGATGCCTTAGCTTGTGGCAAAATAATGGCCTATAATAGATAAATTTCTGTGTAACTAAACTACTCATGTCATATAAATATATATATATATATATATATATATATGGGCAGCGCTACTGGAAGCTAAGAAATATTATGCAAGACTGAGTTGAAATGCTGTTTAACAGGTGTTAAAGTAACCATAGGAAGCATAAAACTGTACCAGTATTTAGGAGGCGGTTCCAGACTACTGAATTGAATCAAACCAGTGAAGTAGAAATTATTACTCCACAACATTTTTCATAAGCATTTCAACTTTACCACTATTGTTAACGCTTTCAAAGTAGCCATCAAAACAGACTTGTATAGCCTAGAGAGTAACTGAAGGTTGGGGGAAGAGTTGAACAGGAGTATTGTTACAGACTGTCAAAAGTGAAAACAAATGTCTAATTATTTTAATGTTTCCTAGATTTCCAAGTGGAACATGGGTTAAAACAGCACATCTCCACTTCGTCTTGTTGTCTTCCGTCCTTTTGCCCCACGATTGCTCATAGGCTCTCCTTTCCTTCGCACACAACCTCTTCAATGTCACCCTCGGCGGCCTGGAGTGCGACGTCATCCAATTGTGTCCTCAGAGTGCGTCCGATGCATGTCCATTTTCTTCAGAATATTTCCTGACAAATAAGTTCTCGCTTGTTGATTTATAACCACAGTTCCTTCTTCTTCATCCCTTCTGGCCATTTGATTTCAGTATGGAGAGAATGCAGTTGTTGATAAAGGTCTGTAACCTATTGGAAATCCTTTTCTTGACGCATCCGCTAATTTTCTCACTCATATAGAAGCAGTGACTGGATGACTTAACATTGGTGTTCAAATTCTGAATTAAGTTGTTTATGCTGCAGTGGACTGAAGAAGATTTCCGAACTGATTTTAGAGTAGTAGAGGTCTGCCTGACCTTTCCGATCCCGACAGGATTTGACATCGTCATCCGTTCGGTTTGCTTGCTGTTGAAACGATGCCGCCTATATAAGTGAAGGAAGTAACCCTATTTCAAATTTCCCCCTCTCACTCCCCACTCAGTCTGGAGCATAATCCACTCCACCACAATTAGGAATATCATCGTGAGTGATAGTAGGCAGCCTCGTCTTACTCCTGTCTTCACTTCAGACGCTTCTCTGAGTTTTCAGTTGTGGATCACTTCACACATGACATTGTCACACAGTTGTTGAATGAGGTTGATATATATTTCGGGCACTACATAATGTTGAATTAGTTCCCAAATTACTTCTCGATCAACGCTTTCGAAGGCCTTTTTAACTGAATCAACGAAACTGAGGTAGATGTTCGACTGCTATTCTATGCTCTGTTCGATGATTACGCCAGTTCTTGAAGAGAACTAAGTTGCCCTTCTAAGGTAATTTGACAAGGCAGCCTACTTTCCACTCAGTAGGTACCTCTTAACTGATTGTTGATATCTCCTACCAACATTTGTGACTGTATTGAAAGTAATTCACGATAACGAAATACAAATCAGTTAATTTTTTGTGGACCATTCATTATTTCATCTGGATGATTAGTATTATTTTCAAATATCCTTAAATTCTGTTTCCAATCATCATTCGTTATGACTGGTTGCATCAGTATTTTGATAAGAACGAATATAAAATCATGGAGTCTGTTGGTTTCGCGTTGAATCACAAAATTTTCCTGCATAACAACAGCCCAGTGACTTGATTATTCTAGGATTTATTCGCTGTAGAGTCTTGAAGGTACATCCCCGAAGAGTCATAAGCTAGAATGGAATGGCTGGTCGTTTAATTTTCTCTTGAACAATATTGGTTCATGCCGAAAAGAGCGTTTAGGAAACCCTGCTCACTGATTCATTCTAAAATTAACACATACCATGTTACATGATAAAGAATAGACACCAATAGAAAGAAGACAATAGGTAAACGATGATATACAACTGTCTAACATACACTTATGACACATAGCATGAATTGATATATGCGAATTAATCCGTCTGACAGCATCACATGCAACTTGACTCTTCGATAAGCCAATATGACATGAATGGAAGAAAAATTGTCGATTCAAATTCGACTTTTCAATATGATCTGGATCAGTGACAATAATATTCGGATGATTGTTAATAGTACTGCCACAATTTGGAATAGAATTGGTTTTTACAACTTCATCTGCCAGTGAAGTAAAACTACTATTACCACTACTAGTAGTAATAGTAGTAGTACTAGGGTGAAGTGAGTTTTCTTCGCCTTCAGCAAGATAATCATTGGTATTCTGTTCCTCAGCTTCACTTTTTATTGCAGTGTCCACTGGTTTTATGGGTGCAGAAATCTGTAAGTAAAGGTAAAATGGAAGGTTGGTAGTTATATATATATATATATATATATATATATATATATATATATATAATATATATATATATATGTATAATGGCTGGTAAATCACCCTGCCGACAGCTGCTGCCTCAATATAGTGGTGGGACTGGCGCATCAGAATGACCCAACAAGCTGCATTGGCTGGAACTGATGTTATTTTGTAAGTTCTGCAATATTAGGAGGATTGTTTCGATAGCGGTTATACTAAAGGCAGTTTGCAATAAGTTCGGGGTCTGTGGATAAAGAAGTACTGTCGACCAATAGGAATGGAGCAGCAACAAGCTAGCCATGCTGTCTCTCCTCTCCGGGTTAGTGAGGTTAGAAAAGGTCGATCCAAAAAAACTGCACATCCTGACTGATTCTGCGGTAGTACGCAGATGGGATGAGATAAGGATACAACTCGAAAAAAAACCAATCATCCAGGGCATGTGTGTGAACGACCTCAAAAAGTTGTCTCCTGGTGTTTGAGATTACGCAACACTAATACTGCCTCTTTCTCTGTTTAGACATTTCAAGAAACAAAACAGACTTTTATGGTGTGGGCAGAAGGAAAGCGGTAACTGTGCATACACTTGAATAAGAACACAAAGTTAATAAGACAACAGATAGTTTATTGAGAAAATTAAGAGATATTTATAGATTTTTATGTACATTATTGTCAGCGGAGAAGCAACCTTTTCTGATTGGTTGTTTTCTTGCTGAAAGTTATTCTGTACTGCTTGTGGCCGTATCTCAGAAAGTCAAGTCATAGATCTGCGAATCCTATCTGCACACCTTAAGTCTGCTGTGATTGGTTGGTGAGTTCCTCAAAGTTAAGCTTTGTTATTGTTTTTCTCATGACCCCGATTTTGGACGCAACATTGACGTAAATTGCTGTCTACAATTTCGGCTTGCAGCCAGTTCTCACCACAATATTATTCTCCTGTTTGGGACTCAGCGGTTAGGTGAATTCATCAGTAACCTACTCTCTTCCATCTCCCACAAAAGAGGTTGCCAGGATTATTTATTTTGTGCACAACACATTTTACAAAAAGTAATGTAATGTAGCTTTCTAACCAAAAGTGTCTCCATAATGACTATGATAATTGAATACCCTGTGAACACCGTCCCAGAAAACGCCTCCTGCAAAGTATTCTACAAAGTCAAGAACAATCTGCCAAAATCAATACGCTTTCATCTCCTTTGTATTGCTGAAACCTTAGGCATTTAGTTAGCAAAACTGGAGCTAAGTTTACAGAAGAAAATTATTCAACCACTTCTACTATCAACGCTGTTGATTTCTCAAGTATTGGTTTGTAGGGATTTGATTGATTGTCTACACTATTTCAGTATGAGCTGACATAGGTTGGAGAACCATTGGAAAAGCTGGGAGTAATGGATAGCATTTTCGTCCTGCGTTGGGACTTGTCACCCGTTGATTTCTACTGTCTTGACTTTTGGTTATTTGCTTGTTTTTCTAACATCTTATAACTCTTATATTTCATTAGAACTTTTACGTAATTCTATATTTTCCTTCGTTTCTATGTGCATGTTGATTACAGCACATAGGTCCGATTAATTATCTTGTGCATATACATATCTACACGTTAGTTTATTAAGCGATAAAGTGTTTAGTTTAATTTGTAAATTGAGAAACTTACAGTTGTACAATTAGACAAATTATCCTTTACTCTTTTTGGTGTATCTAAAACAATGCAATAAAAGGAACAGAAAGTAAGTAGAATAATAAAATGATAATGGAGTGCGATGTCAGGCAATCATTCATTCTCATACTAGCACCATTTCCACATTCTGTGTTGTACATAAGGCAGGCTGTTCATTGTTGTGCTGGTATTGTATATTATTGTACATAACACTTAACATGTTTATGAAATGTGAACAAAACAAAACAAAACACAATTGTGGAATTTATAATATGTAATAATTTGGAACAATGCTTGTCCACAATACTTCAACTTAGGATCAAGGCGGGGCCACCGTCAGAAGTGATAACAATCAGTGCTGTATATTAGGGCTGTCCAATGTTAATGCTCTTAATTAATTTTACTCTAAACATACTGAAAACATGTAACTATCAGTTACTTCAAAGTCATAGGAATTTACTCGCTACCATGGGAACCTTATGCTGAGTTAGAGTACGCCCATGAAATAATTCCTCTAGATAAAGATATAAAAGGTTCTAAATATCCTGAGCATAAATTTAGGAATGTCCGTCTTATATGCATAATGAGGTTACTGAAACAATCCATAGTTCAAGAATTAAAAACTGGATAGTTGAATGTGCTAACCACCTCATCACTTTTTAGAAAGTCACACCAACACCGAAGGACTGCTTACTGACACCTTGACAAGTTATAATGAAGTTGTGGGGAGAAGTGTTACAAATGACTGACTGAATAGTTTCAACGTAGAACTTTGCACAAGAGTACAGAAGTTCAAGTAGCCACGCTCCATTTAGTACATAAAGGAAAACAAAAGAAAGAAAAACAGGGATTCTAAAGAACAATGGTAAGCAGAAATTTGAAGAAGTATAGTAACACGGAAAGGCATGAGCGTTTAGCGGATACAGGGGATGACAGAGAGACAGAGTGCATCTGTGCACATGATAACGATTTTGAGCCATTTTACCAATTGTTTCCAGTCATTGGTTCTTAGAATCTACACCTCCCTAAGTGGCTGGCTCAAACCAACTGTTAAGATTTCATGTACTGATGCCACTAGCCCTTTTCCAAACTAATCCTATGTCAGCTAACGTTGTCCGTGGAGGAAGGCAATAGCTAGGCGTGCGTAACACGAATCGAACTCCAGAGCAGTACACATGTCACATGACTGACAGATGGATATCACGTCTACGCCGAAGACCATGCAAGTTGGCAAATGCCCCACAAGCCTTCTGTATCCGTGCTGAGATTTCGTGAGCAATCAGCCTGTTGAGGCTGATGCAACTTGCCATGTAAATGAAGTGGTCAACACACTCTAATAACTCACCCACCCCCTCCCTATCTTTAACATAGGAGTCCACACAGTTCAGTCCTGTAGTATCATCTCACAGGAACAAATCACATGCCAAACATCCGAAGATTTCTGTTCAAGGTGTTCACAAGACTCTCCATTTTGTCAGCGTCCTCACCTAGGAAGTAGAACTATATCATCAGCACATTCCAAGTCAACAAGATTATTCCCTGGTAAAAAGACAATCCATGAATCGCAGAAGTCAGTTACGGCAATGATGAAATTAAACAGAAATGGTTACACTGGGCATCTCCGACGGATACCACTAGTTGTCACCACTTCAGATGACCACGGCTGCGTGAGTTCGAGTAGAGTGCCTTGATTAGTGAGATGTAAGTTCTCGGCACAAACATGGCCACAGTACCTCTCAGTCAATGGAGTCGAATTCTGCTTCCAGATCAAGAAATGTGGCAATTGTTGGAAGCCGGTAAGTATGACTGTGTTCGAGAATCTGTCGGAGGGTGAAGATATGATCAATAAGCCTTCTTCCTGGTCTAAAGCCTGCCTGGTTTTTTCGCGTGTACTTCTCCCAGGCACCATTAAATCTGAGCATGATTACTGAGCCTAGGACTTCAGATACTACATTAATCAAGCTAATCCCTCTGTGATTACCGTAGGAAGACTTGTCTCTCTTCTTGTTTGCTGTTTAATGGTGAAGTTGTGAATCCTTATCGATTAAGGTGGTGAGAAGATGTATAGAGATACTTTATACTGACGGATCCCGACAGACATCAAAAGTTAGGTGAGATGAGCAGTGAGTGACTCTTTTAAGCACTTAAGTGAAAAACTCACTTACCACTGCAATTATCATTACTATGTAGACATTGGTCTTCCACCGATTCTGATATAACCACATCGCTTCCATGATTATTATTATTATCATTCTTTTCAGGATCTAATGAAGCAAGACATTTTTTTTCAGATATTGCTCGTTTCCTTGACTGACACTGGTTTTGCTGTTGAAGATGACGATCAGTGTCTGACAATGAATAGGCATCATCCGGATGGGCACTTGCTACGCCTAATAAGGCTAAATTCTTTAATAACTCACAGCCAATTGCACCACAGCCAACCTGTTGTTGAACATGGAATAAACACAAAAATAGGCATCATTATCTAAATAAGCAACGATAAACATGTTCAGAATCAGCACAGACGTGAGAGGACAACTGTTTACCGCTTTGCCTCCTCATGCTATTAATCCAAATTGCTTAAAAAACTTTGTTTGAAGAGGAATCAAGTAGTAGAGCTCAGCTGGTATATTGCTAAATTGGGCTAGCCAAAAAAAAACCCAGAGGTTCGCATTCCATTGTGATTAAAATTTCTGTTTCACAACAAATTAACAACTTTTTCTGTTAAAATAAGCCTGTCAAGGCAAGAGAGAGAGGGCAAAGGCATTATTCACATAGAATCCAGCATTACTGTTGCACCGATACAAGTTGTCACAACACTTTACCGGAGACTCGAAGAAAAGAATATAAAGAAATTGAGAATAATCACCGAAAATACCCATTGACCCATGAAGAAAATATAAAGACAATTCAGAGAAGAAAATGCTTCTTTATCGACGAAATCATCCTCACAGGCTGTACAGTCGTATTTATATTTACCAAAAATGTGTAGTAGTCTATTACTGAGTAACAGGGGGTGACATAATTGATATAATTACTCAGAAGTGGCTTTAGAAGTAAAAAATAAAAGTTATAAATTACGTGGTACTCAATGGCACAAAGATAGAAATTTGATTAGTTTAAAATAGCTATTGAATGAGAGAGAATAAAGGTAGTTGAGTGTCAATTTAACAAGTGTGAAGAGGGTGTAAAAATGTACAAAAGGAACATATAAGAGTGATAACAGTGAATTAATTACTACAGTACGAATGGAGTTCCCACCGATGATATTGGTTGGCGGTCGCTCTAAAAAAAATCACGAATTGGTAGAAGTTAGAATTCATGAGCCCCAGTGGCTGAATGGTATACGAGCTTGCCTTGTAACCGGAAGGTCCTGGTTTCAAAACCCATAGAGTGCGTACTGCTGATGAGTCCCAAACTAGGGTGTCCAGTACCCCGTAGTCTCCAATGGTTCTCTAACTGATATCAATTCGTGGTCTAAACTGAAATGTTATATGTTTTCAAAACTTTAGTTCTATTTTATAGTATGAAGATTTGTCTAAAGTAATCAGGTCAAGCATCACTTTGTGCCTCTCTCTCTCATATCACTCTGATTATGAAGTACTTTGATAAAAATGAACCTGATAGTCTTATGATGACATTTTATACAGAGCACATTTCACCAAGAAATTAGTCAAATTTTCAACATGAAATAGACACTTGTTGACAAAGAAAAATACTTCCATTTTAGCAGACTAGATCACATCAAAATCTTATCCTGAACTTTTAATTTCTTACGGGTTTAACTGATTTCAAGATGGGTTGCATTATCCATCTGTGGACAATAAATAGGCCAGAGAACAGTTTGTGCACTTTTTTTCTCGTTATGCTTTGATAATCATTTTGCAGTAAATCTCATATTAGATAAGTTTATTTGACGTAAAACACAGTGTGAATGATACTGCATAAATAACTGGATAACGTTTCGAGCGCAAATTACTGCTTATTATCATACCAATTCAGTCATATAGCTTCATAATTTGCAGCGCATTTTTATCTCTCTTTCCCCCTTTCCCCTTGTTGCCATTTTCCATATCTCCGGTATTGGCGGCGTTGCATCATTTCGATTGCTTGAGTGCGGTGTTGAGTCGATAAACAAAGATTCAGTGATTAACCTCCGTCTCTCCACCTAACTATATCACTTCTTAATACTCTCACCCTGTCCCACCCACCCTGTGGTGTGTAATTACATGCAAGTGAATGCAGTGCAGTGGCTGAGCTTTTCACTAGGTTATTTAACTTAACAGGGTCAATTATTTTAGGTCTAGATAAATTTTTATGTTCCGATAATCTAGTTGACCCTGATCTACTATTTTGACCTATGCAATTGAACTCACAGTCATTACATGATATTTGGTAAATTGTATGATTTTTCTTAATTGGATCTATTGAGTCCTTAAGCGGACAAAGTTTGTCTCTGAGAGAGTTGGTTGTTGGTTTAAATGCCACCCTAATTCCAGAGTCATTGAGAATGCTACGTTAGGCCTTTGACGTTAGTTTTTTATACGGCAGTTCTACAGAAGCTTTGAATTCCATATTACTTATATTATTTTATTACTAATCTTATTTTTTCTATGGGTCTTTATACATTTCTGAACAAATTCTAGTCGGTAGTTAATCACTAGCAATATTTCCTTTATTTGTTTGATTTCATTATCAAAATTTTCTGGCTTACTAGTTAGGCTCTTGGCCCGATTATATAGACATTTAACGACACCTCTATCCTTACCGATTCTGGATAAGATGAATTAAAGTTGAAGTATTTATTAGAAAGTGTCGGTTTCCTATAAATATTAGGTATCTAACCCACCATCTTGTTGTCGTTTTATTTTATAATCTAGCATGGCCAAGATTCGGAAAAAAACTCAGTCGTTGCGTTGCATTCACTTGCATATAATCACACAATAGAGTGGGGAGAGGGTGAAAATATTAAAGACTAATATATAGTTAGGTGGAAAGACAAGGAGATTAATCACTGAATCTTTGTTTATCGATTCAACACCGCACACATGTAATCGAAATGACGCAATGGGTAAGAGAGAGGGAGGGAGAGAGAAATACATATATACAGCAAATCATAAATCAAAAAAAAGGAAAGTCAAAAGTCAGAGGAAATTTAACAAGTAAGATATGTCACAAAATGATAACAAGACAAGAAACCCACCATAAAAATGCTCAAATTACGAATTCTTTGCAGATGTGAAGTACCAATGCATTTCACTAAAGCAGCATAACGACTTGAAATCAAACTAATTGTGTTTCGTTTGTTTTTTGAGAAAAAAGAAACAAAAAGAAAATGGAACACACACACAATAAATGTATAAATAGATTTGAAATACTACAGAGTAAATACTACGAAATTATCGGACGATTACACTAGCAAAATTTATATTTAATTCAATTTTGACTCTCTCGTTGATTGACTGAACCGAAATGTTTGGCCTGTATTGACGTGTCGCCTCCTTGTGCGGATGTTTCGAAGATGTCTAAGGATTTCACCTGAAGTAATTTGTTGAAGGATGACCAGCAGTGGAATCCAGGACAACGCGTATTTCTTCCTATTTGGGACTCGTCAGTTAGCGGATGCACCAGCATTCAAATAGTGAATGATGGTGTCCCCCACTGAGGCTCGGACACAGTACCCATCGTTTCAGACGCCGATCATTTCGGGTCAATCAACCAACGGGAAAATAAAAGCGAAATTAAAGATAAGTATTAACTGGAGGTGGTTTAAAATAAATAAAAAAATTGGTGTAGATGCCTTCAAACACTATATTCACCTTAAGTGTAATATAGCAATGTTCTTTTGCTTCAACACTTTCCACGGTTTATTTTTGAATCTAGTGGATTGATATCAGTTAGAGGATTACTGAAAATCAAGGACTGCTGTTTCGTCATAGTTTGGGACTCATAGATAGTATGCAGTCACTACAGGGGTTCGAACCCAGGGCCTTCCGGTTATAAGGGCAGTAGTTTTCCAAATATACACACACACACGCAAAGTGCCAACATCTGTACTAAGCTAACAGATAAAAATAACCTTCATATTGTCAATGCCTTTGAAATCACACACATAGTTGTATGCAATATTCAAGAAAACAATATCCATCAAGATGTCAGCAACTATTAGAAATAAAGGGCGAGTTGTATCCTTTTATTATGTAAAGGCAATTAAGTCGTTGACTATCTAGCTCGCCTTGTAATCGAGTGGTCCTGGGTTCGAACCCCCCTAGTGCGTTCGTAGTGTCAATGTGTCCAAAATTTGGGACGAAAAGGTTGTTCAGTACTTTGTGGTTTTCCAACGATCCTCCGACTAATATCAATTCGTGGTCAAACACAAGATAAATCAAACCCCTCAAACTAACTCATGTAAACTTAACAAACTAGATTAATGCTAACCCCGAAGCCATTATTTTGCAGGTCCCAGTCTACTCTGCATACCTAAATCTAAACAACCAAAGTATCCATTTACTAAGCTTAAGAATAAATCCATCTGGTCAGTTTAACTGGTTTCTGATTGCATGATAACACTTAGGCTAACAGGCGGAAACAACAGTGCTTAAGCAGTCTAAAACTCATGCATAAAGGAGAGAAGAAAACACTCTTTTTTTCTGTGTTTGACTTACCTTTGAAAATCGACAGACTTGGTATCTATTTCCATTGGTACGATAGAGGCACACTGAAGGTATAACTGTTTGTTTTGATAAGAAGAGTGAAAAATAGAACGAAAAGAGACAAAAATAGAGAGAGAAAAACAAAGTATTAATACTCAGTGATGAACGAGATGCTCACTAACTAGAAAATAGATCTTCAGTTTTTTGACACCGTTAGAAAGATAGGTGGAGTAACATTTGACAGTTCAAGCCTGAAATCAGTGTGCAGAAAAAGTTTATTCAATGTCTCATCCTGTCTTGTGCTTAAACGTCTTCATACAGTGCGACTGTCGAAAAAAACAAGTGTCAATATTTACTAGCTCGGTGGCACTAGTAGCCTGAATGAAAGAATTTCAACGCAACGAACTCTGTACAGAAACGCTACAATTCAGGTTGCCACGCTCCAAGTGTAGATAAAGGAGAGAAAAGTAGATTTAAAACAAGCCTGATAATCAAAATTATCAGGGAGAAGAATAGTAACATGGTAGAACATGACGGTTAAATGGATACAGAGGGGGTCACAGAGTATGGATGCATCTGCGCCACCAAGAAAAATTTTGAAACATATAACTAATGGTCTCCAGCAATTGGTGCTTAGAATCCCGAGGACTCCAACCAGGAAGTCTACATCTTCCTACATGACTGGTTCAAACTAACTGTTAAAGATTTCATGGATTGATTCCATGTTTTCGTTTGACCACCACTAGTTCTTTTCTTGGCATTCCCTTCACAGCCAAACATCGCAAAAGTACCTCTAGGTAGACGGAATCGAATTCCGCCTTCATGTTAAGAAATATGGCAATTGTTGGACGCCAGTAAGTATGCCTATGTTCTAGAATCTGTCGAAGGGTGGAGATATGATGAGTACACACTCTACCCGGTTTTGTCGCATTTGTATCTCCTGAGCACTACTAAATCTACCCATGATTATTGAGTCTAGGAATTTAGATATCATACATCCCTTTGTGGCTCAAACCAAGAGTAGAAGGCTTGATGGACAGATGTAAGATTATGGTTTCATCACCGCTGAGTCTTTTCCAGCCTAATCCTATATCGACTAACATTGTCCACCGATGACGGCAATAGCTCGAAATGTGCATCACGTGTTCTAGTCACTTAAATCGCTTCACCTTCACAGACTCATCTATCGACTTACCTTCTTCATGTAACACTCGGCGCCTAACCTCAACATTACCCACCGTATAAACCATTTAACACGTGGTGGAATCCAATGGAATCCAAGATGCGCGTTTCATCTTTATTTGGCATTCATAAGATGGATGTACCTGCTTCTTAAGTAGTTGATTTCCTACAATGAGGTTCACAACGTGAAATTCTATATAAATCACACAATCTTTTATGCATCCAACATTATTCACCTAATCTTAAACAACGTACTGAAGGTTTAAAGCAATGAATTAATATTGTCTGCTGTCAGATTATATCCTTAGCCTGCAGTTTAATAAAGGCATCTTTTAGTTTTTCGCTTAAGGCGTGCAGCTTTTACAAAACGCCACAGCCAATTATGCATAAACTGCTGACTAGATTACATTTAGAGTTGGTGGTGACTCAAGATGAAGTGAAAATTTAAGTCACAGTAGGCCTGCCAACCCAAATTATGTGTTTAAAAAGTCCCGGCTTCGAATCCCAGTGGGGATTTACTGATGAAGAGTCCCAGACTGGGCTGACGAAATAGTTGTCCAGTACTCCCAGGTCTTCCAGTGGTTTTCTAACCGATATCAGCCCATGGTGAACTCCTGTAATCGATCGAATCCCAGCAAAAATCAACTCTTGTATTGTTTAAAGTGTTGAAAGTGCTAAGCAGTATAAAATTTAAACTTTGCGTATTATCCAACCTGACGCCTTCTTTTCAAACACAGTAAAATGTTCTTTAAATTGAGTACGATGGAGTTAAAAGACGACGAACATATGCCGACTTTTTATTCCCTTTGCCGTATTAGTCTAGATATTGAACCTTTAACCAGTGAATCCCATGTTTAAATTCAACTTCACATACTACAATTTGCGTAGTCAGGTTTTTGTAGAGGTATGGCTCACTAGTCTACGAGGTCGACTTATAACAACCGGGTTACAAGCACAAACATCACTATATCTACCAAGGTTCTAGCGGCCAAGTCGCATCATTAACCAGCACACATTACGTATGGCTAGTTGTCAAGTGTGTGGAAATGCAAGTGATTGTTGAGTAACACTTCAGTGTCCTGATTTGTAGTCATGCTGTATCGTTGTTGGGTAATGTTTTATGGTGAAAAAGGCAGAAAAAATTCATTTTCAGAGAGAGTTCATATAAGTGTGTTCTACCGGCCTAGACGATTTCTTCTTCACTTCTTCATTGCTTGAATTGCGAGCGGAATATTGGTTGATAGCTTTGAAGTTTCAGTAGCTATAGTGTTGTTTAACAGCGGTGGGAGTTGCCAGTCTCACACCCGATCTTCCCTCTTTTTCGGGCTTACTATCAGCTGGCAAACTAGGCGACGTTTAGGAGTGGGGATCCAGCCCCGAACAACTTGCGTGGTTGGTAAGCACTCTCTACCACTGGACTGTCGATGGACGATCCTAATAGTTAGTTTATATAATCATTAGCAGTGCTTGAAGGATTTCAACCACATTTATTTACTTGCGTGAAGTGATAGAACATGTTGACCACTTCACCTATTTGGGAAGTTGTATCAGCACCAACGGATTGATTGGTGACGAAATCACAGCACGGATCCAGAAAGCTCGGGCTGCTTTCGCTAACTTACACCATCTCTGGCGTAGGCGTGACATCCGGCTGTCAACCAAGGGACGTGTATACTGCTCATCAGTTCGCTCCGTCCTTCTCTATGGCGGTGAGACGTGGCCATTGAGAGCGGAAGACATGAAGAGATTGTCTGTTTTTGACCACAGATGTTTACGATCTCTTTCTCACATTAGGTGGTATAATAAGGTAAGTAATGTTGACGTTAGGCGTAGAGTGTTGGGCAAAGAGGGAAAATCACTCGAAGAGGCTATGAAGTTACATAGATTGAGATGGTTAGGTAACGTGCTGCGCATGCCTGACCATCGTCTCCCCCGACGGGCATTACTAGCTGATATAGGTGCAGGCTGGAAAAGAGTAAGCGGTGGCCAAACAAAAACATGGCATCAATCCATGAAATCCCTGACAGTTAAACTGAGTCAGGTGGGGAGGGAGATGCAGACTTCCGGGTTGGGGCCCTCGGGACTCTAAGAATCAATGGCTGGAGACAATAGGTGACATGGCTCAAAATCGTTGTCAATGGCGCAGATGTATTCAGTCTCTTTAACCTTCATATTCCTTTCTACCATTACTCATTCTGTTTCAATCTTATACTTATCTAAATTCTATTGATTCTCTTCTCTCCTTTTCCCGTCTACCTTTGTGTGCTCTTTGGAACGTGGCAACTCGAACTGCTGCACTTCGGTGCCAAGTTCTATGTTGAATCCAGACAGACAGACAGCGTACAACTAACTATGTGAAAAACACAGACGCTTAACAACACATGCATACACATACAAGGAGTATAACATGCAGCACAAACTTGTCACATGACCGTGGAACTGCTTAATGGGCTAAAAGATGAAACTATGTCTAAGTTTATCCTCTACGTCATAGGTCTGAAAACATTCCTTCTTTTGTTGAATAAGCAAGTAACTTTCTTGATTGAATTACTTTCAAACATGAGGTCAAAACGTTAAACCAGGATGATCACGCTCACAATTAGTCAGCCGGCATTACCACATATAATGCTATGAATGTAGAGCGCTAGTGTGGCATGTGCTACTGACAGGATTTATCAGTAGTATACAAACGCGGATCGATAGGAATTAGCCACAAACGAAAACAATTTAAGACAATGGCTGTCGAGGTAGAAGTGTTTATTCTTCAAATCTGGATCTACTTTACGTTGTGGTGAAGATATAATTGCATTGGACAACTTCTCGTCTCAAGCTCTAACCTTGGGCCAATTGCCAGCCAATCAGAACAGTTTACTGTTCGCTGGCCTAGTCAACTTTTAATGTGCTTAAAATGTATAAATATGGTATTTTCCCTTCATAAAAAGTCCGTCACCAAGTCTCCTGTCTTCTTACTTTACACTAGTACATTAAATATATGTTTTATAATTCATACACTTGACAATACATATTGATATTATCAGAAAAATGTCTTACTTACCCATTGATTAAACGGTGTAAATGTTGATGTTACAGCCTTCAGTGCTTCTTGTGCAGCTATACCGCCAAAAACGGCACACAATGGAGCTAACTGTCCCTGACTAGCAGAAGATAAACGTTTAGCTAAAGACTCATCAATTTTAACATCCTATGTGATAAAAATGAAGAAAAGAAAATGTAATGTGTCATCCAGTAGATAATACTGTATCATTTTGTCGTATATTAAATAAACCAGATGAGTCCATTATGGATAAGATTTTATTTTGATAAAGTGTCACACAGTGTTGTACAGTAATATTAACTGATGACGTTTCGAGCATAAACTATTGCTCATAATCATATCAAGTTGAGTAGGTATTATCTCCCCAGTTCGAATTTCAGTTATAGAATAAGATTATGTAAGACAGAATAATCAGATCAACATTAGTAGTGATTTTCAGAATCTGAAAGATAATTAAAAGTCAATACATGGGTGCCACTATAAACGATTTTGAGCCATGTCAACTTATAGTGCCCCCCTACCACACAGTCTACACCTCCGTGCGCGGCTAATAAGAAACAGCCAAATATAACATCGATTAGTACTATGTTTTCGTCTGACGTAACACATGTCTATAGCCATCTCAACTGATACGGCTTCACAACCCTACCGTTCAACTTTCCCTCTTTAATCAACACACTGTTTGCCTGATTTCAATATTACTGACTATATTCCACTATCCAACATAAGGAATTTAACAATACTTTGAGATAAACAGCAAAGTTTTACTCCATTTAAGCAGTAAATGCTATCTACATAATACAGGAAGTGTTATGATACTAGTTACAGAGAAAACAGACTTAATTAATTTGGTTCCAAAATTCAATATTATTTAACTAGCCAGCTAACTAAAGGTTGAAGTCACGCATACAGTGTTATTCCAGCCGAGATAATGATGACCTCTCAATAATAACAATACATCAACGGAAATGATTACAGAACACTGAGTCATTGAGTCACACTTCCTCAATATATATATATATATATATACTTCTAGGTGGTAAGATAGTTAATTCGCAAGCAAGTAAAAGTAAGCGCTGAGAATTCAACTGAAACACGAAACAAAGAATGAAAATGGGATCATTGAGGAAACTACAGACTTCCATTAATGATAGCCCAAAAACGGAAAACTGAGAACTTTACTCAATATAGGTTAAGACGAATTGCAGTGGTATAAGTGCACGTAAACATTTCCTTCCATGGATTCCTATATATATATATATATATTCTTGCTGTTATATTTCCGAACAACATCATGCGTGGTTAAGTAAAGGGGAAATAAAATCCATTCCAAGCCCTATTCTATCTCATCTCGTGGATACAGAACACAAGATTGATGTTAACGAGGCTTTTAAAGTCATCTACCGCATAATAACTTATCTTAACTTCACCTTAAGAGTTCGTCTACTACATATTGCTGAGGCCGTTGGGATCCACATTAAGAAACCTAACATATTCATCAAAAGGAAGCTGGTTCAGACAATGTCCTCACCTTGGCCATCAAGGGTTTAATGATCCTCAATTTGTTGTGGAAATCTCATTAATTTTATTTGATATTCTATTTGCTATTACATTTTATGCTTATTATAATTTATGCATTTTTCGTGAACTGTAATTCCATTGATCTTACTTAACAAGTCGATAGTATTTAAAAACACCAATGTTGTTAATGACGACTATTCTAGAATATCCTTTGTATATATATATATATATATATATATATATATATATATATATATAATTGTAGTGCCAGAAGAGGAAATTATTGAAAACGATAGTCTTTGCTCAATTTTTTTATAATTGTTAAAATTAGTGAAATTATCCCGGTTTCTGAGTTTTTTCTTATGATCAACGACCATTTGTAACCCATCTCAGCTAGGAAGTGTCAACGTAGACTGGTCAACAAAGTTAAGGAATAGTAATGAAGAAGTGCGAACCCATACTACTCGTTCGATAACGGGACCCAGCATTATTATCATAGCATCACTATGAACGCTGTACACGAAATGAGGAGATAATCTAATCCCAACCTCGTTTTTTTTTTAATTATCATAATAATAATAATAATTTGCTTTATTCCAAAACAGTACTTGTGATACAGAATGGAATTCTCAGCATTTTTACTACAGTATTGCATCCAGTTAGTACATTGTCAATAAATAGAATTCTACATAGATTGAGGAAACCACAGTTCATTATTACAACAATACATTGGCATGTTCAGTAGCAAAGGTAAAGCTGAAACAGTGTTTGAAGGTGTTAGAAGAGTGGGAGCAGTCTTATTAACTGGCGTAAGCGAAAGAAAGAGACAAATCAGCACATAACGGAAAAAGAAGAGAGAGAAAAGGAACAGAAAGAAAGGAAATGTTGAACCTATTGATGAAGTGGGTTGGAAAGATGAGATCCAGTTGTACTAATGACTATTTAATGAATTATAGGTGTCACGCCTAATGCTTTCTTTATCACACAGAACGCGAGCTAAGTAGGATATGGTTGAGTTTTTGTACTTGCTGGTGCGAGCATATAGTTTTCTATATTGGCTTCTGGTTTTACCTGATGAGATGCAAGGGGAGAGTTGTGAGTGAAGAAGGTGGTGTGAGTTAGATAAAATGGACTTGGCCCATTTTTCACATGAGTCCATGTGCCTGTCAACCAAAATATTAACAGGCTGGTTAAGTGACACGTTGCTTACTCTGCTGACAACATTTAACATCCTGCGTAATATGTTATAGTCTTTCTTCAGTAGCCCAGGAAAAACTAAGGGGGAACAATAGAGAATAATAGGCAGGATGCGAGAATTAACGAATTGTAGGAGTAGGGGTTGGGTAATACCAGAATGTTTTAACTTCTTAATGTAGAAGGCAAGACGGAATATTTTCTTAGAAATTGCTAAGATATGAGACGACCAGGAGAGATCAGCAGATAGAATGACACCTAGGTATTTAATTTCCGATTTAGTTTCTATTTCAGTGCCGTCTATTTTGCATACCTCGTGAGAGCCAAACAGTTTGTTTAGGTCGGATTTATGCCTAAAGGTGAAATTGACTGTTTGGCATTTGGAAGGGTTTAGAGTAAGACCATTTTCCTTGGACCACTGGTTGATTTCTGACAGAAAGCCATTAAGTTTAGAGCAGTCGCTTTGACATTTGATAGGCAAAGATACAGACAGATCATCAGCGTATCTGACAAAATTAATGTCATTTGAAGATGGTAAGTCATGTAGAAAGAAGGAAAAGAGAAGTGGGGAGAGTACAGCGCCTTGGGGGACTCCGGCTTCAGTGAGTGCAGGAGAGGATGATTTACCTTTGTATACGGTGTACTGCTTTCTGTTAGAGAAGTAGGAATGCAACCAGTTAGTGACCCAGGACTCAGGTTTCGTCAAAGAGGGCTTATTTAGAAGGAGACATCTAGGAACAGAGTCGAAAGCAGAAGTGAAGTCAAGAAACGTGCAGCGGACGTATTTAGCACCTTTATCTAATGATGAGACGATGTTGTTGTGTAAGACAGCTGCAGCGTCTAATGTACTCCTACCCTGTCTAGATGATGTGTTGATGGCTCGTTAGGATTATGTTTAGAGTTTGGTTTTGGGTGTTTTATTCCTTTGTATCTGTATTTTTCTAGTAAATCAACGGCATTTTGTATGTGAAAAACACTGGTTATTTTGACTGATCGACTCAAAGTCAGTCGTACTTTTGCATTTCTTCGGTCGCTATTGCTAAACTTTGCTGACTGGCCGATACAATGCAGTATAAAAGCCATGTATTAATTTTGATGATTTCCTAAGTTATTTTACATACTTTCACAGACATGACCAAGAGTCGAAGAAATAAAGTTGCAAAGAAAAATAGGTTCACGCAGTGGTTAAGTGGCAACAAGTCTAGTTTTATACCAAATAGTTTATACTCCATTGAAGACTGCTCAACTCGAAAATAAAAAACAGTCATCTACCACCTTCGCTTACTTCTCTATCAGTGTTTGTCCAGCTGATATTAACCTATGTGTGTTATATATCCCTAGTTTTGTAATTATATTCCCTTAATTCCGTATTAATAGGAAAATCTATATTAAACATCGTCTGATCTTGTCTTTTTCAAATTATTATTGTTATCATTCCCTCGGGTTCATAATGAAACGTGGGACTTCGACAGTACATCTCCATTTTTACTGTTCTCTGAAGTCCTCTCTAGCTCGTCCCATGACTTCCCATAAGCTCCCATCTCCTCTTCATACGATCTCCACAATAGCAAACTCAGACGCCCAACTTGTCATTTCCCATTTGGGCTCCACAAATTTGAGGACTTAACCCCCGACCTCACCCGACGGTCTCTTCAGCGTGCGTGCGATCCATCTCCATTTACTTCAGTGCACTTTTTGAGCAGTAGGTAATTGGTTGGTTCGTTTCTAGAGTTTCTTGTTGTTAATCCTTTCTGGCCATCTGATCTTCACTGTTGAGCCAGCGAAGGCAGCTGTTGACAAAAGCTCGCTGTTGCCTGGTGTGAATGCTTTCCATGACGTGCAGTGTAAGTTTCTGACCCATATAGAAGTGACTGACTGATTGACTTAACATTGGTGTTGAAAATCCAAATTTTGTTGTATATGCTGAGTCGGAGTTCAGAAGATTGTCACACTGATTTCAGGGCTGAAGGTCCGCCTTGCTTTTCCGATCGTGATTTTGACATTATCATCCGTCCCACATGTAGCTGAAACGATGTTACCTAGATAAGTCAAGGAGGCGACCTGTTTCAAATTTCTCCCGTTGAGAGTGACTGATGTATATTGTTGTTGGTTGGTTGCTTTCATCACCTCATTCTTCTGTACGTTTACTTGTAGTCCTGTCTTCGCTGCTTCTTCTAACAGTTTTTAGTTTTCGCCTGTAGGTCTTTGAGTTTGTGTGACATTAGACAAATCAAAGACTGCCTCTGCTTAATGATCCTGGATCGAAATTTAGTCACTTGATTGGTTTCTACTATTTTAAATGTCTCTGTATACATATTGTATGGCATTATTATGATTACTATTTCGCACTGTTGATCCGAGACAGTAAAGACCTCTCTACTCAAATGTCCGCCTTCTTCCTTTCTTCTATGTGTCATGTGTCAGCAGTATCGCGTTTTGATGGTTATCGTTGAGAATACTGATAAGAGCAATAGACATGCAAATCTACTAGTTGTATTGACGGTCATATGAATATGATAAGTACTGCCTTTGAAAATAAGCCTAAATGAAATACCCATACATAGTAATGAAACATCACTAGAATATTTGTGCTCTTAGGATAAAACATTGATATAAGTATAAAACTTGGGCACTGTGGTACAGTATAACTCCATTATGTATAAGATTTTATTTTGATTAATCACACAGTGTTGTACAGTTATATTAACTGATGACGTTTCGAGCACAAACTATTGCTCATAATCATATCAAGTTACTCACACAACTTTTTTCCTTTCATTTATATACATCTGAGGCCCTACGTAGGATTCTCAATAAAGCAGGAATTAGGGTGGCATTGAAACCTACAAACTCACTAAGAGACAAGCTTTGTAGGTTGAAAGACCCGGTGGACCCAATTAAACAAAATAATATAATTTACAAAATACCTTGCAATGACTGTGACTTAGGTCAACTACATAGGTCAAACTAGTAGGTCGGGGATAGTCAGATTATCAGAACATAAGAATTTAGCTAAGGGAAGAATGGTTGACCCTGAAAAGATAAGCAATTTAGAAAAAAGCTCAGCTATTGCACTTCACGCATTAACAAACAACCACACAATAGGGTGGGATAGGGTTAAAATTCTAAAAAGTAATATAGGTAGGTGGAGAGAGAGGTTGATTACGGAATCCTTATTCATCGAGTCTACACCCAACACATGCAACAGAAATGACTCAATGCAAATACCAGAAATATGGAAGATATTATTACCGTCGGTCAAATCAGAAGAGGATAATAAATAATCTTAAAATTCTATTTCAATTCAAACACATCACAACATTCGAACAAGTTATTTATTTTGACTATAAAAACACTCGTCTTATTTCCCATCTGATTCTAAGTGATCAATAACACTCGTATTATTATTTCTGAATGTACATTATCTCATATTGAATTTTATTCCAATATCTAATCGATTCCACACATGTATATAAATGAAAGGAAAGAAGTTGTGTGAGTAACTTGACATGATTATGAGCAATAGTTTGTGCCCGAAAAGTCATCAGTTAATATAACTGTACAACACTGTGTGACGTTATCAAAATAAAATCTTATCCATGATAAGATAAAACATTTTGGGTGAACGTTCTACAACTAACTTAAAACAAAAGTGAATATCAATCAGTTTATATATATATATATATATATATATATATATATATATATTGACGTATTAATCAATATATATTAGCCCTGCATAATATATTTTTTGTATTTGAGATTAATCCTACATACTCTTCATGTAAACTATTTTAGGCATTCAACTTATCCTCTCCCCTATAATATTAATGCATACGACCATCAATATCATTAGTAATAGTAATCATAATAATAATAAAGTTATCAATATGGTATTATTTAATACAACCATTTGGAAAATATTTCTATTCTATCAAATAAGGTGAAAAAAAATGATAAAGGATATAATGGAAATTTGAACTCTCATCTGTAATTAGAGAATCAAATGTTTGCCTGCATTCTAGGAGAAACTGAAATGAAAAAGCAAAAATATGAAAGCTTAGGTTATTATTTCATGAATTGATATCAACAAGCGAGACTGTTGAACGGCAAGAAATACTAGGAGGTCGGTTTTTGTTAGCTGAGAATTCCACTGGTAAGAAAGAAAAGGTCATAGAACTCCCTTCCGCTTTCAACTCCCCCCCCCCCCCATATCTCTCGCTGCAGCTGCGGAGGCGACTGAAACATGATAGCTCTGTACTCTTTAGTTTGAAATGATTCTCTAAATGATGTCGGATTTATGACAAAATCCTATTTGAAATCCTACTACTGGAACACTTGAAAAAAATAAAATACGCTGATAGTACTATCTGAGCAAATATTGGCTAACTGACTGGTAATCGAGTACAGTAGGATAAAGGCGATTGGAGTTGGAAAGAGACATGAGTCACCAATGGGATCAGATCATCGCTCTACTTCCCTGTACACATTCATAGGTAAGTTGACTAACAGTTACGAACATTTGCAACCGCATAGCATAGTGTTGTCAGTCATTCTTGATAAGAATCGCATTTAAAGACCTACAATGTTTCAGCACAAGAAGTAAGTGAATCGATGTATGGACATGGTTATATGTGATCCTTTATTATTCAACGTATTAGGAAGTATTATTGAGCAACACGGGTGTTGCTGAGAATGTTCGTACAAGGAAAATCGATATCCTCTTCCCCTAAAAGTCAACAAGTGAATCACAGCTTTTAAGTCTACGGTGTACAGATGAAATTTGAAATCCGTAAACCAATATGGAGGAAATACTTTTTGATATTGTTGTGTTCTGTGAGCTATATCTAGAGATGGGTGGTTTAATTATGGAACGTTGTTTGTTCGTCTGCACAAAGAATACCCTAGAACTCTTAGAAGCCAAGTACTCATTACAATTTGTAAATAACAGGCATGTCTGTATTACATCAAATCGATGATACAGTTAGTACCAATAGGTGTGAATACAACGATAGAAAGGAAAATCTCCGGGTCCAACTAATTATTATTAATCCCTTGAGTTCCGAGTGGAACATAGGGCTTCGACAACACAAGTTGGCAGAAGAAGCTGACAGAGAAGCAAGGACGTCAAGTAAACATTTTTTTCCTTCACGTTCCCCAGTGGAACATAGGGCTTCAAGCTAGTGGCTTGAAGTTTCTGTAGCAGTGTTTATTTTTACAGGATGGGTTTGCTAGCCCCATGCCCAACCTTTCCTCTTTACCTGCATTATTTCTGGCGTAATGAGGTAAAGGAGTGCGTCCGCCGGGGACCGAACTCCGAACCATGTGCATGGTCGGCGAGCGTCCTAACCACTGTGCCACGGACGCACTCAAGTAAACATACAGAAGACAAAAGTGATGAAGATCACCAACCAACAAATCAACCAGTAATAACAGGAAGCACCAATCACTATGGACGGAAGAAATTTGACAGACATCACTTCCCTCACTTTTCTAGGCGGCAATGTTTCAAATACAGGGGATGAACCAGCCGGAAACCCACAGCCCAACACACACACACTGAAAAAACTGTTGACTGACATCACGCGTCAGGCTACCGCTCGAGTTGAACCCGAATAGGAAACGACTAGTTGGACACGTGGGTTCGAGCATGACACGGAGGAGATCGTGTGAAGAGATGACAGCTAATGAGTAGTCAGCTAAAGAAAGAGGACTGCACTGAGAAGGATGAAATGCAGATGTGTTTTGATTCCCCCCCCCTCCACCCCTCAACTTATGACCACATCGAAGCGACTGAATAGTGATAGTCATCAAAATTTCATTATGACAAGTTGCAATTATTAATCTGACTTAAACTCATTTAGTTTTCATTCTTCCAATGTACCTGACTACAGATAATATCACTTTTCATAATAAACTTGACTACATCTCTTCACTTATTCACAGAATTAATCCATAATTGGAAGAAAACAATAGCAAGGCATAGAACAGAATCGAAATGCATCCATTTTATTTCGTCGATAGTTTACCAACTGCTTACCTCCTTGCCTTATTATTTCACTTTTCTCCTAATGCTTGCTACTAATACTAATACTCTTAGTGTGCAGGAAGAAAAGATAACAAAACAGAGAGTGTGCCTTTACATTAATCACTAATATGTAACATGCATGGAATAAATTTATTATTCAATTAGTATAAAAACACAAATAGACCACCACCAGAGTTGCCTGACGCCATCTATATACAACACACGCATTGATGATAAAGTTCAATTTGGTTTATTCAGATCACACAGTCTTCGTATGCAAGAACAGCTCATGCAGAATAAGCTGTTCTTAGAACTCACACACACACACACATAGGTACATAAACATCAACAGGCATACGAAGACAGATTCTGTTATCTTAAGGTAGAGATTATAAATCATATGATATGTAATAATTATCATGGAAAATAAACACATTTGTTTCCTGTCTTTGTCCTAAATCGCCTCTCTCTCTCTCTTAATTACATAAAACAAAACAGAACAACACAATACAAGACACACAACACACAGACACACCTGCAGACAACTTTTTTCAATTTAAGAAAAGAACTTACATTCATCAAATGCAATTTCTGCAAGGTGTACATTTGATTACGAAATATTTTCCAGTCATCGTTATCCCTTTTTGTTGATAATGTAGAGAAAAAGGAGAAAACAATGAGACAAAGTCAGTGAACAGAAGACATAAATAGTAGTATTAGATTACACTTCATTTAAGCAACCATAAGAGAACTCTACTACTGATAGCGATTTCGATCACTTGCAGCACAGCACACCAAATATTTACACACTTAGCATTCAGGTCATATAGCTCACTCAATTCCCGACAAACTTTGTAATCTGCTAGTGATGAATTGGATCGGGTCCCAGTGGCTGAATGGTCTATGGGGTCACCCTGTAACCAGAGGGTTCTGGGTCAGAACGTCACCGGGTACGGACTGATGAGGAGTCCCAAACGAGGACGAAATAGCTGTACTCCAGTACTCCCTGTTGGCTTTCCAATGGTTCTCTAGCTGACGTCAGCTTGTGATCAAATCTGCAATCAACCAATCAAATCCTTGCAAATGACGCATTTAACACTATGTATTATCAGTTTATCCAATGAGCTGTCCAGAATTCATGTGGATTAAACTGATTCGTTTCTCTGGACTACGTGTAATCGCAGTCCAACTCATCAAATGAGCGAACCGACTGTCCAGGGGTGTTTGGGTAACTTAGCGAACACTACTTCTTGATGTAGGTAGTTTTCAACGATTCACAGTTGATGTAACACTGGAATTATGCAACACACTGTCTTCGCATTTGTTGATAAAAACACTTTAGCAGTAAATGAAGTGTTTTATCAGAAATAAGATAAGTCATTTGAAAGAATTCTAAGAGAATCCTGCTTTAAACAAGCAGTGCAGAATTCATGCCCTGTGTCGAATATGTCATAGTCATAAAATTATGATAAGTTTGATGGCAACAGATGCAATCATCCTAAAATATTTAGAATTCTATAACATTTAACAAGACTGCAATTACTTATTTGAAGAGATTATAACTGATGTGTTGAAAGGCATTCGAACTAAGTGGTGCTAGTCCTTAAAAAAAAAGACCGAGTAGACAATCACACGAAGGATGTTCATTTGTTCACTCTTTCTGTCTCTCTCTCTCGTTCACCTCTTTCCTTATTTGAGATATCTTGTTTATTTTCATATCACTATAATCGTTTGTGAATCAGCAATCCAACTGATGATACTGTTAAATACTATGGTACTAAATACTATCTCAGAAAAGATCAGCAGGAAGGAACTCTGGGAACGAACCAACCAAGAACCTGTAACCCAACAAGTATGTCGAAGTAAATGGAGATGAATCGGACACAGGTTGAGAAAATCGTTGACTGGCTCGAGTAGACCCCCTAATGGGAAACGACGAGTTGGACACGTGGGTTCGAGAATGACATGAAGGAGATCGTAAGAGAAGAAGATGAGAATTTATTGGCAATCGTGAAACCAGCAAAGAAGGAGTGTAGAGAGCAGGATGAAATGGAGATGTGTTGTTGAAGGCCTATGTTCCACTCGGAATCTAAGCAAATAGTAATAGTATGAACGCCTAGAAAATAATAATCAACACGGAGATGATTAGTATGCAGATAACACGTCTACGCTTCCATAACCCTGAGGTGTGTCATCGAACTGACAATTATTTCAGTTTGCAGTAAAAACCGGTAGACATAATTGCAAAAAAAAAAGAAACATAAAATACCAATTAACTCATACCAAGGTTTAGGATAACGACCAGCTTCTAATTTAAACTTCGTTAATGTTATGTAGATGAGGTGGAGTAATTTACTTTCCTAATTGCAAAAGACGGAAAAAAAGACAGATAAACAGGTAGAAAAGTAAAATATTAACAACTAAGAAAAATTTCTAGCTTATCACATTCTTCCTAAATCATAACTATACTTAAGTAGGACGAAATATGGTCGTATAAGTACAGTCTTCCAGTCTGGAACAATCATTAGATATGAAGTGTTTGAACTACTCCCTGAGTATATAAATCGTTTGACTTTTGTACCGATCACCATTTTGAAAGCCACAACAAACATGACTATGATTTGTAGGGTTTAAAGCTGTGAGTGATACCTTGGGAAAAACAACCGTCTAACGAAGTGGTGGTCATTATTTTGAGATTTATCACACAACAACAATATAGAGATACAATATTATCGTTATGATTATGATTACCCGTTCCTTGCGTCCCGAGTGCACATCTCTGTTATCAGTTTCAGCTAGCTCCACAAGCGGTTACTTCTTCTTCTTCATATGATTACCTCCGTGTCGCCCTACAACGCTTAACTTGTTGCTAACCATTCGGCTTCCATTCGAGAATATGATGTAGTTTTATCAGAGTGTATCTAATTCGTCTCAATTTCCTTCTGCATATGCATTGGACAAGAGATTCTTGACTAGTGCGCTGCCTGCTTATATACTTGTCGTTCGGCCAGCTGAATTTCAGCATAGAGAGAAAGTAGGTGTTGATAAAAGTCTGTGCAGTTGATTGTAAGAAATACTTCTGGTGACGCACGCGCGCCAAGTATCTGAACCATAGAGAAGCACAGTACTTCACTTAGCTAAGTGTTGTACATATCCACATTGGTTTCAAAATCATAAAATGTTGTTTGTTTTGCTTCGCTGATCCCGAGTGGCTTTGAAAAAACTCACCTGCTCCGCCTGTAGTTGAGGAGATGCTGCCCAAGTCAGATAGGTGAAACGGATGACTTCCCTTAGATTTCTCCTACTGATGATAATTGGTGTTAGTTGTTGGCATTTATATATATATGTATATATATATATATATATATATATATTAAAGGTCGGAATAAGATGAGTGAAAAAGTTCGACCATTTCCAATACAGACGAATATCAAGCTATCAACGTGTGAAAGATGAATCAACCACATTTGCAGTTCAGTAGAATTTAATGACCAGTGAAAATCCTACATAAATGTCTATCCACCCGAAGGAAACTTCATTCGTGCAGTTATCATCTTAATGCTGACCTATAAAATGTTATCGATTGTTATAGCTCCCATAGACGACCTGGTAGAAAAGAGGATGGATAGACTTTAATCTTCCTCTCGAAATGCTCGCATGTGACCACGCATTCATAGCCTCTGTTAGCCAAAACCCATTCACCGGCTGCACGGGACAGTGTTCCTCACAAAATTATAAGGGCGAATGTGTCTGGCCCTTACAGCCGGACTGGAAGCTGGAAAACTTTCATTCCAAACCAGTGGTGTACATTGACTCCAGAACCAGAAAAGAACGAATAGGGTGCGAACGTGGTTTGGATACCAGCAAACATTTGGAACGTAGCTCCTGGCGCTAGTCCACTGCTTTGTGGATTAGACTTTAAGACAAAGGCTAAGCAGTGGTTCCTTAAGACAACTGCGTGATTCCGTCCGGGTCGTATCTGAATCCTCACACAAATTATGCGATTTTGTGTAATGCATCTTTTGGCGTCCATAATGTACCTGATTTGCGTTTTAATACTAAATAAACAGTCCTTTTTCACAAATGACTGGTTCCTAACTTTTTCAAATTTAGACTTAACGCAGTTTTCTTATACTCTCAGTGGTCTGAAACAGATGGATATGAAGAACATTTAGAACAAAACATTTATACTACTCATGAGTAGCACGAAATATCTAACGAAAATTCTTAATTTAAACGTAAAGGCGGTGAAAGGCACAGTGAGAAAAATCAGTGTATACAGTCTTCCACTAAGAAGCACAAATAACTGATAAATTCCAAGTATCTTCTATGTTTGGTTCAAGATTCTGGAACATGCTATCCCCTAAAGGGTTGATAAACCTCAATGGTAAATAGGTACTGTAGAATCAACCAATACCAGTAATCTGTCTGTCTCTCTTCAGGAATGACAGTCAATTAAAGCGAATAGATTTATAATATAAACAGTCACTTGAAAGTTTCAAGTACTTCACATCTAGAAGTTAAGTAAAAAGAATACAATGAGGAGTTCCATGAAGATCAATGTTGTGTTTACATTCTTAAAAAGAAAGCTCGATTTACACAGACAACCCTAAAAAAACAAGTTAAGAGAATTAATCCCCTTATGAGAAGTGAGTATCCCTACTTGTACTGTATCATGAAGACAACAAACACGAACTTGTAATACACTGATACATGCTGGTATTTTAAAGACTTCAACAAAAAACAGCAACTATGTGTGTAAGATCAATTCAATTCCTATCCTTGAATCAAGTCAACCTGTCCCGGATCAGCCTAGCATTGTTGCAACACAATTATCCATGCCCAACGTGTCTATCCCACCCTGTTTAATTAACTGTGTATGTGTGTTTTTACTTCTATCCTTTTAGTCAGACAGTTGAACTCATGACCCAATCAGAGTATTTTGTGAACTGTTATTTTGCTGACCCATGTCTTATTTGTACTATTATGTTGAGTTTATCTTATTTATTGATTGGTTAAGTAGCCAATTAAATTCTATCTTTGTGCCTATGCTTTGTTTATCTCTTACTTGGGTTCATTCTTCTACTGACTGCTTACCTGAACGGTCGTGTCTGATCCGGCTAGTTCGTAATTTTGGCTTTAACGTTATTCCGCTCTGATAGCGGTTCCTTGCTTTCTGTTAAGCATTGTGTATTGTACTCTTGAAACCGTTAAGTACTGTAAGCGCAATATCGCTTGAAATTAAGTCACGCGTAGATAGAGGCTATCCCGGTCCAGATCAAACAAGAAGCCGGTCACTGTTTCTACGGTACTATTAATAAACAAATCAATTAATATAAATACAACAAACCTTAACGGTTTCAAGAGTACAATACACAATGCTTAACAGAAAGCAAGGAACCGCTACCAGAGCGGAATAACGTTAAAGCCAAAATTACGAACTAGCCGGATCAGACACGACCGTTCAGGTAAGCAGTCAGTAGAAGAATGAACCCAAGTAAGAGATAAACAAAGCATAGGCACAAAGATAGAATTTAATTGGCTACTTAACCAATCAATAAATAAGATAAACTCAACATAATAGTACAAATAAGACATGGGTCAGCAAAATAACAGTTCACAAAATACTCTGATTGGGTCATGAGTTCAACTGTCTGACTAAAAGGATAGAAGTAAAAACACACATACACAGTTAATTAAACAGGGTGGGATAGACACGTTGGGCATGGATAATTGTGTTGCAACAATGCTAGGCTGATCCGGGACAGGTTGACTTGATTCAAGGATAGGAATTGAATTGATCTTACAATGTGCATCCGGCCACAAGGAGTAGTGTCCAGTTGTGAGAACACCTACCTTTCCACACTTAACCTTGAGATTAGAAGACCAGACAATCACTAAAATAGAAGAGGAGTATCCAAATCCAAAAGATTTTTTTGATTAATAAAACAAAATGAACATTGAATGCTTTAAGAAGTAATTATTTCTTGACAATTCTTCGGAAATACATGCTCACCACCTTGTAAAGAAATGTACCCCAGACTACCGGGTTTTAACACTAGTCTGTTACAATGAAGTTACTGCGATGAAGCCTAACTGCCCATACTTTCCGAATGTTGGATTCGCTAACAGGAAATAAAATCAGCTTTACAATGACTTTGGGTTCAAAAACACTATCTCAGATTGTGTTTAACTTTTGTATTAGACTCTGATAGACCTTTTTGGCCTAACGGTCATAAATATGAACTTCTAACTAATGAACAGCGTATTTACACTCTGTGAACCAATACTGGATAAAATTCATGCGGACAATGAAGAGTTGTGAATATTTACTTCTCAAAAAAGGTAAGCAATAGAAAGGGATAAAAATAAATTTAGAGTTCCACTAACTTCTGGATCACTCCAATCCACACAGGTGAGCTTTGGATATTTAATTTCTTCTATCATAGTTCTCTAAAAAGTTTGGAAATAAATAAACGGAAAATAGATAGTAAGCGAAATAAGAACAAGAAACACAGTTGGTATTATACTGCACGAACTGTATCAGTAATGACACATTTATTTCAATACTTGACGTTACCAATTATCATATTTCATTCAATAAAACAAAGCTAACTCATCGTCTCCGCCGCCCCTCCCCCGCACATATATTTAATTTAGGTCACTGAGATTTTAGGTGGTGTGTAGTCTGTTAGAATTCAGCTTAATTTATCAAAATAAAGTTGGATGAAATCCTCCAGCCAATCAAACAAAGTCCCTACAAAACCAATACTTGAAAAGATTTCAGTAGACAATTTTAATCATCATGCTTCAGGTAATGAATGTCCTTGGCTAGTGCTCCTCTAACAACGAGAAATAGAAAAAAAATGTATGACTGAAGTGGGCATTTCTGGTGTTGCTGAGCCAAAGGTTTTAATTGAGAATTTTTCATTGTCATTCTGAAAACAGCTTTCACAGGCAAATTTTATGTGAAGACCAGTTATCACAGAGAGAAATGCCACAATATCTAGGTTAGAATAATATTCATATCGACACGAAGTGGTTTTCACAATATACACTTCTTTAATCTACGTGAAACTGCAACTACTGCTATCAGAGAATAAAAACCTAGCTGAAGAGCCTAATGATGACGTCTCTGACTACAGAATTGGGTGACCCCCAGGTTCGAATCTCGGGAGAGAGATGCGTTCCTTCAATATTTTGCGCCCACAGTTCAGTGGTAGAGTCCCCGTCGACCATGCATGTGATCTAGAACTCAATTCCTGGCCGACACACACCTCCACCTCAATTAACCGATTATTTGTCCGACAAAGGGGGAAGATTGGGCGTGTAGCTAGCAACCCCATCCCATGAAACACAAACACCACTGCTAGTGGTACTTCGAAGCTGAAGTTTGACGCATTATGTTCTACTCGGAAAGCAAAGGAATATAAATAAGAGGCTACACCAATTCATCTGTTTCTACCTTGTTAGATTAATTAAATGTTGGAATCCTCAGATAAGTACCAGGTCGGCTACAATAAATGCTGCAGCATAAAGTGGGGAAAGTAAAAGCGCAGATTATTTCTCCAGCCGTCATATTGGCTGGATTATTTTTAAACAGGTTTTATGATAATCGAACCACTATGTGGCACCAATAGGAGGAGAATTCAACTCCTGGCTAGAGTCTCGAAGTCAAGTGTAACTGGGGCTCACAAGGTATTGTTTAGTGTCAATGGTAATTCTAGGTTTTTACCAGTCTTTGAAGAAAGAAAGAAAGATATAGACAGAGAATTTGATTATGGGTTTTGTGTTCTGCTCCAATTGCCAACAACTGATGCAACACCAATATACTGATTACTTCCTCCCCCCCCCCCAGCGACCAGTACCTCAGCTCAAAACAGTTAACATTAATACACTAATAACCGTAGAACCAGAGGAAGAAATTACTCAAAAAAAAATAATAATTGTTCATTCAGATTAATCTTGTTCTGATTAAATATTAACTATAAAATGAATTAAATCATTGTAGTAATATAATAAATTAAATATCCGTTTCATTATATTTTCAAAAAAGGGAAGGAAAGCAGAATGAGGAATTAAATAACCTACAAAAGTGTGTTCCTGTGGTTTTTTCACTTGGATTGCAATACCACCCAACGAGTAAGGAAACTGGTCACATTGTATGCCACTTGTAATGATTAATTCTGTAGGTGATTTCACTAAAAATCAAATGAGAAGAAAAACTAATTAGTTTCTATGTACACTTTTTCATGACTAGTAATCACTTAATGGAAAAAAAAATCAAGAAATACAACAAATAAACAATAAGTTCACAAACTCTCTCAAAGAAAAGCATACCACAGTAAGTACATACACTATAAAACGAGCCACAGTCATCCGTTATATTAATGGTACTGTCTAACCTACATCTAGTGACGAAATAAGGACTTTTGCGTAGAAGGGGATCATTTCAGGTTGTCATGCTAATAAACAATACACAGGAAGTGATTGACAGAAATCAGATCACATTGTGTTATGTGCTACTGACAAGACTTATAAGCAGTATATAGATATTTTGATGTAGTTGTGTACTCTGAGCTGGCTGGTTCATTTGCGAAGCTTTCATTGACCCCTATTAGACAACATCTTCAGCGCATACTTCAGTTTGAAGTGAGTGAGCTTTTAGATTTCTCCATGAGTTTATTAGTCATCTCTCCTGGTGACCTTGGACGTGACTCTGGTTATTTTGTGTTTTCACACCCTCTAGACTACTTGAATTAGTAGTGATTGTTTCCTTCACTTGAACTTTGACCCTTTGCGTGTGAGATTTCCTTCCTATCGATTGGTATATTTTGTCTATGTCAATGTGTCTATGGATTGACGATTCACTTGAATATCAGGCTTCTAAAAATTCTTTAAACATTCTTGGTGTTTCCTCTGTCTAATATCTGAACGTTGTCCCAGTCGAATTGATGTTAGTGGTTGTCTGTATGCAGTGATATGAGGGAGTAGATGTCATGTATTTCGATGGCTAGTTTACAGTCATGGATACGAAGGTGAAGGGGACGTCCACTTTGGCCAATGTAGTGATTTTATGCAGTCGTTGCAAATTAAACTTGAGCTTCTAACTCCCCTGTGGTTGTTCGCTTGACTAAGATGTCCAAAAATGGGATTTTGTTCTCGGATTCCTCTTCTCTTGTGAATTTGATGTTGCTGAAGACGCAATTTATTAAGTTGTGAGTTTTTTCTAGCTCGCTTCTTTTGATTATTACGAATATGTCACCTATGTAACGTATCCAAATCTTGGGTTTGATCTTTGGTAGAATTATGTTCTCGAGCCTTTGCATCACTGCTTCTGCAATCAAACCTGATATGGGCAATCCCATGGGTGTTCCTTTAACTTGTTCATATGTTTGGCCGTGGAGCTGGAAGTACTTGTTAGGCATAGGTTTATGCATTCTATCCAACTTGTGTGGTGCATGTTTGATTGTTGTGGGAGGTGCTCGTCCTTGCTGAGTAACTGCTCCATGATCTCTTTTGCTAGTTTCTGTCCAATTTCGGTATATAATGCTGTGACGTCAAAGGATACCATTATTTCTTCATCATCTATTTGAATGCCTCTAATTTTCTCTGGAAATTAGATAGCAGATTTGATGGAGTGCTTCAGTTTTGTGTATAGTTCCTTGGACAAACCTTATGTTGTGGTTTCTGGAGATGTTGCCTAGTAGGGCATTAAAAGCTTCGCAAATAAAACATCCAGCTCAGAGAATACAACTGCATCAAAATCATCCACCTAAGCTACAAATGTTCTCCATCAGTATATAGATATAAATATGTATGTCATCTGCAAGAATATCAAAAGGTGGAGAGATAGTTTTAATGGAGAATAGGAGAAATCAACAGTTCTTGTGAACCAATATGGAAAACATGAAAGGGACACAAAGAAATCCAATATCAAAGACAAAGGCAGCACAACAGAGAAGACCTGTGCAAACTGTGGCCTCTTTATGTAGTAGTGTAACCGGAGAAGACAAAACACTTGGTAACGGAATGTTTATTTGGAATTTTATATAGGGAAATTATGTAGACCTTGTGTGAAAATGGTCATTTGCACAGATCTTTCGTGTTTTGTTAGTTCTGTCCTTCGTATTGTGTTTCATTGTCTCCCATATTTCGCCACAACACTGGTTCACTTGTTCTCTTTGACGTAAAATCTATCTCTCCGATATTTGACATTTTGTGCCGATGAACATTTCTTTATATCCTACTGATAGATCTTGTCAATAGCACACTCCACAGTAAATGTACTTTGCCAACTTATGCACGCCGATTTGCCAGTAAATAATTCCATTACGAAATACTTAAAAGGTTCTGTCGTTACAATATAGCAGTAATTAAATAAGATCGTGAGAGTTAAAATTAATCAATAAGCTGAATGACTCAATGAGTTTCAACAAAAAAGTTTGCACAGAAACGTTGCGGTTCAAGTTGCCGCATTCTATGTAGCACACAAAGGCAGACAAAAGGGAGAAAAAGAGATTCAAAAGAACTATTGTGAGGGGAAATGTACCGAATAAAGAATAATAACATGAGAAAAAATGACGGTTTAGTGGATCATTAGAGATTACAAAGTGTACATGATCAGCACCATTGAGCAAGGTTGAGAGCTATGTCACCGATTCTCAGCTTTCCAAGGACCTCAACGAGGCCGTCTACATCTCCATAAGTGGTGCAAACTAACGGTCGTACGCCTAATAGATAAATGTCAAGTTTGGGTTAGACAACCTCTAACTGTTTTACAACCTAATTCTGTGACAGCTAAGATTGGTCGACGAAGAAGGAGGTGGCTCGGCAAGCATAACATGCATCCTAGCCATCTCAACCTATGTAGCTTCATAACCACATCGATTGACTTACCCTCCTTGCCTAGCTAACACTACCAGTATAATCGGTTTGTGTGACAAAAACATCACTATCCAGTAACCTAAAATTAAACTTTAAAATATTGTTAGGAGATTTCTTGCAAAACTGTACGGTGTATGTGAAAGTGACAGTATTGACCAAAGAGAAAATAGCTATCGTTAGTATTTTTGAAATAAGGGGAACCGTGAGTCGGACTGATAAGTTCGTATTCACAAATATCATTCGGCATTGTACACTGAAACATGTGATTCTTAAAAGCAACAAAATAACAAATATTACAGTAAAGTCGACAGCCTAATCATCGTTCATGGTGGATAGGATTTTCCAACCACCACTTAAGACACGGTCAACAAAAGGGTATATAAAAACATTACACTAGTTACCTTTTACAGAAAATTCCTTGCCGTTTAGCTCCGGTAGTTTTTCAAGTTCAGTAAACCGAATAATATCACCGTCCTCTAAATGATGTCGGCGATCATTTAACATTTTGACCAACAGTTCCCCACTTTTTAACTAGAAAAGTATAATTCAGATAAACACTGAAAGTTATTGTTACACGTAAACACTCATGATACATTTTATTGATAACATATCGATAAACACCACATTGCTACCAATTGACGCAGTATGACTAATAGTTCTACTTTGATTAGATTAATTCATTACACTACTAACAAAATTTTAAGTAGCTAGAGTAGGATGTAGTGAAAAAAGTGAACTTCTGATTCATGTTACATCAATAACGCACTTTGAATAATTGGTTTGTTCATGCCTATTATTTATTGCAACTGAAATATTCATGAACGATAAGACAAAAAATGACCATCAGAAAGATTTTTGCCCTTCTGAGAGATGACATTAGAACTGGTGAATAATATCATTTAGTTTCGATAGGATAGGTGACTGATTCTTTTGAAGCTATATGAAGGAAAAACATCCACCGACAAAATGATGAATAGAGGCTGAAAGCTCTAAGAACATTTGAAGCTCAAGGTTATGGGGAACCGAATAACTCTTTGATTTAGCTCTGATTTTACTGTATATGGAGGATAATAGAAGTGTGTATATTCAACATATCCAATATTCATCATTTTGAAAACATTTATTTCCCGGTACGAATTTAAAACAAGCAATACAAGTTAATAAAGCAGGATTTAATGAATTCATCAAATTTCGCCAGTCCTGGACACTTCAAACTGCTTATATCAATTTCAGTGTGTTTGTGGAAGCAAATACATATGTCGTACAGAAAGGCGATTGTGTACTCGCATGATGGAGCATTTGGCAAAATGGTTGAAAACAGCTGAGTGCAAAGTGCCAAAAACCTCACTAATAAAACATCTTGTGGACTATGGACATAATATCGACGCTGTCAAGTCATTCACTATTGTCAGCAGACAAAGAAACAGGAAGATGCTTGCAATCGCAGAGGCTTGTGCATTTCTAGTTTATAAACCAGGTCCCTGTACAAAAGGAGATGGTCGTCACTCTGAATCTACTATGGTAATACGTTTTACTAATTATTCTACCTCTTAATATTATTATTGATCATGATTCCTTTAAAACTATACTCTTTCACTCTTATATTTACCTGTCTCGAAGTTTCTCCTACATATACGGCGTCACAGTCTCCACAATTGATCTGGTACACACAATTCTGTTGGTTTTCTTCTTCTATTTTATCCTTAACCTTCACCAGTGATGAGCATAAGGTGTTAGTTGCACAAAAATACACTCTTACGTTATGATCGTTAAGGATTCGCTTTATTTCATCTGACGTTTCTTTGTGGTGAGGAATCACCGCTGTACTAATCCAATTCTTAGCAGCAGGTTTCGATCCATCCTTCACATTTTAAATACCTTTTTATGAAGGCTTTAGGATAATTATTTCATCCAAGAGTGGATTGAACCAATTTTAATTCCTTGCTAATCTCTTCATCCACAGTAACTAGACGTTTGACTCTGTTAATCAGATTCTTGGCCACAGTTACTTCGGTGGCAAAGGGGTGTGCTGAATAGTAGTCTAGGTATCTGTCCGAATTTGTCGGCTTTCTGAAAATGTTTATTTTAAATTAACCATGCAGTTTTCTTTGTACAAAACAGTCCAGGAACGCCAAATCATTCTCGTCAGATTCAACCTCTTTGGGAAACATGATGGTTTCTGACATATTGTTTATTAAGTGAAAAAGTTCATTCAACAAACTACGTCTGATTATAACGAAGGTATCATCCACGTATCTTAACCACATTTTTGGAGGACTATAGCATCTCATAATTGCATTTGTTTCTAATTTGTGCATAAACAGATTGGCGACTAGCGGAGATACTGGTGACCTCATAGCAATGCCTTCTGTTTGACGGTAAAGAACGTGGAACGTAGACACAATTCCAATGCCTTCATAATTTCGTCTGGATTTAAAGGACAACGACCACTGAAATCGTCGTCAGAACAAAGCAAATTATAAATAATACTTAAAGAATCATTAACGCGAAACATTCGTGAATAATGGAAACTTACCATTACCACATCTTCTTTAATATGAGTCAAGTTGATTTTTCTTTTAAATTGATACGAATTCTTCACTCCATGTTCCACTTTCATTTTACATGGGCTTAGTATTCGATAAATGTATTTAGAGTTTGTAGGTTGGGGAATTAGTAAAATCCGCAACTGGACGTATTGGAACTTCTGGTTTGTGTATTTTTAGTAATCCATAAAATCTGCAGGGGCTGCAACTTTTTGCACCCAGAGTAAACCAAGTGATACACCGTGTTTCTCTTTTACTGACTGCAACATTTTGCTTGTTTCAGCCTTCAGCGTATTCACTATTAAATTTTGCTCGAAACGTCATCCAGTAAATGATACTGTTCCACTGTGTGATATATCTAATAAACAAGCTCATAAGGAACTCCTTCTTTGCTTTGTCTTTTCTCTTTTTCTCTTTCTTACCCACACCTTTGTGTCTCCCTACCCAGAATTTGTGACCTTGACCTGTACACTCTCTGACCTGTGTTGTGATGATTCCTTACTTCTTGCCTTCTGTAAAACTGTGTATGTGTGTGACCTGAATGTCCGAAATGTGTTTCGCAAATGCATTACACGTCTCAGATAAACGTCTTATTGTGTTGTCGAAATTCATAAAGGGAACTAATTGCTTCAACGAAATTTGTTGTCTAAAACCTACAATTTCTACCCGATTAACGCTTTCCATATAACGTAATTTGTTGACTAAAATTTACAATTCTAAAGTATTGAAGTATTCATTTTGTTGTTAAGAAAATTAACTATATATATATGCGATTGTACAGCTTGAGAATGATATCTCCGGAAAGAGTAACTCTTCTCTGAACGTCTTTTCTTTGATAAGAATCCATTTCTGCAGATGACTGATGTTAACGCGTTTCTGCTTATTTACTCTTTTGATGGTATAAACGGGACCACGTCTCTCGATTTCAGTGAATGGCCCTTCGCGCTTCAGGAGTTTCCATGAACCTGGCCCACATCTACCCGCGTCCTTTCCTTCTCTACACTTTACTTGATTGCCGAACTCAAAGGTTCTGCATTGCATTTTTCCTCCCTGTTCTGATATCACGGAGTCTTTCTTCTGTTTACGCTTCTCATTCCTGACGCGTCTTTCCGTTCCGTTCGCAGCCTTGTCGTATTCCACTCCTGATGGACGGCCAAGTGGTGCTGTGTATTGGTAGTCGTGGCTTTCTCTCATACATTAACTGAAACGGTGACTTCTCTGTCGTTTCCTGCGTGGACACACGATGTGCCAGTAGAATCATGGAAGCTCTGTCTCCCAGTTACCTTTCCTCGAGGCCAGCCACTCCTTCAGTGTACAGTTATTTCTCTCACTCTGATCTTCTTGATACCCAGCTGTTGGAAATTGGAGGTGAATTCTTCGCTTTCAGAACAAGGGCCGTGATCTATCAATATCGTCTTTGGTACGCCATGGTCTGCAACAATGTGTCAAACTACTGCGTCCCATCCGTTCAATTTCGGTGGCTTTACTGCTGCTACCATTGTCTCCAGCAGCTGCCTAAGCACCTTCGCTAGCTCACCGATGTCCGTGAGTTGTGCAGCGTTAATCAGTTGTATTTTCTGAGAAATGTGATCCGGGACACTCGATGAACAGGGACACCAATAACTGCGACTCTGACTCTTCATCCAGTGTAGGGAGTGCACGACGCAATAGATTCGTTTAAGTTCGGTCCCAGCTTTGCGGCATGGGACTACTGCATCACAGAATGAATGTCCATCGGGCTGTCGGACTCCACCACCAATCGTTCAACCAACACCTTCCATGTCTCCATCCCACCTGACCGCTCCTCACTGTTGTACGCCACCTTCGCTCGACCTCCCAGCAGTGTCCCTAGTACGCCCGCCTTCACTATCGGATCCCTGACGGCCTTAAAGTCCCGCAAGAAGCTCCAAATGTCTCCTTCCTCGAAAGCAGCCGGACATGGAATCTTCATTGTCTGGAGGCAGCGACACCATTTGAAACGGTAGAAGACGAAGACTTGGTGAAGGAATGTTTATTTGGGAATTGGTATCTCTATGTACCAAATTATGTACAGCTTATCTTCAATGCACAGTTTGCACAGATCTTCATGTTGCGGTACTTCTGGCCTTCATATTGTGTTTCTTCGTGTTCTTTTCACTTCTCTCATGTATCTGGACAGCGCTGCATCATTTGCCTTATCTGACGTCAAATGTATCTTCTTGCTATTTGATGTTTTTATGCCAATGAATATCTCTTTATCATTAGCACCCGCCGCAATCTTACCAGTATGAGAAAAGTTTTCTAGTGATCAGTCACATATTACGGTGTACCGAAGTACTATTAGTTCATGACAATAAAATTCAGACTTATAAAGAGCTACCTTCGCTAGCTCCATGTTGAAGATCAAATGGCCAGAAAGTATTAGCAACATGGAATTCTGGCAATGAACCAATGAAGAACATATTGATCAACAAATATACCAAAAAAACTAGAGATGGATTGAACATACGCTACAGAGACTGTTGAGTGCAACCCAAATGGGAAGCAGTGAGTTGTCTGTTCGAGCAGAGAATGGGATAGACCATGTTCAGAAGAAATGGATAATTGTGGAGTCAGAAAATAAAGGACTGCAGAGAATAGAGTGGGAGGGAGATGTGCTACTAAATCCCTATGTCCCACTAGGAAGCCAGGGGAATAATAACAATGATAATAGTGAAAATAATAGTAATATAATGCAATGTGATATAACATTTGGACGTACTTTTTCAATGTGTCCAATAAAAAGCTCTTTAGGTGGTTCATCGTCTGGTATTGAAACAGTGAACTTCGAACCAAAATCACAAAAGAGGTTTCCAAATACTCCATATACGTCTGTATATATAAACTATCAGAGGAAAAAGAAACTTATTTTCACTTAAAGCTGATTTCTTATACAACAATGATTAGAATAGTGAAAATCTATTCACAAATCAGAAAATTTACGAATTAACACGCAAACAATATTTACGGAAGCTGTCCGTCAGTCGCGTGAGTTATGTATTTTAGTTGACAATACTGCGGATCATGAATTATGAGCAACATATGTGACTTGGTGCCTTTTATTGTAGTTTTATAAAGGACAAGTTATATCCACCGTAGCTACTGATCAACGACTACTCAAATCAAATTACGCAATAATAATAATAATAAAGGTATATTCTTAGCTGAAGTAGATTCCCAAAGAATACAGATCATCAATAGCGCTACATTGCAAACATGCAGGCGACTGTAAGTTGTTAATGAAACTAACCTGTTGAACAGCAAGCTGGTATCTGAACTCAATGCAGTGTACTTTAACAATACATACGTCAATTTGCTTGTAACGTCCAGCTCCCCTAGTAAATAAACTTCGACAAGTAATGACTGTCCAAATGAAACAATACTGATTAGTGTTCTACACGTGGTTAAGACGCACTAATTCATTTATTGCAAATACAGCATAGTAAAAACATTTTCAGACTTGATGTAAAAACAATACAAGTTTAGAATACTAGGCAGCTTAGTACTATTGTCCATTGTCTGAAGATTAAAAGTACGTCTACCTTACGGGTGTTTAGCTTCAGAAGTGCTTGCTGATGGAATATACAACACGCTACTTCCACTTCCTTTCAAACGAAAAGCCACAATATCACATGCTGGCCTAGGCACAGTAACAAACAATATTTAACTACAGGATATTTCCTGAAGGACTCACCTTAATATGATGGATTCTACAGAATAAATTTAACAATGTAGCCTGTTGAATTGAACATTGGGTGAGTATTAAACACTAATAAAATGATGAGAGAAAAAATTACCATTTTAGTGAAAAAAAAACTAGATTAAATCGATAATTAACTGCGATTAGAAGTGAATAATAATGAATATTAATAAAAGGTGTTTTATTCTTGACCACACAGGAACCAACAACAACAACAACTGCCGTCTTGACAAAGATAGGTCGTTGCACTATAATAAGAATGAGCTGAAATTGTGATTATTGAATGAAAACCATTCGGTTATCAGATAAAATGTTTTTCAAGTTTATCTGTCCGACCGACCGAGAAAAAGCGTTCCACAAGCTGATTTAAGCACGGTTCATTTGTCTCTTATTTTAAAGCGCTAGATCATAGAGAGATTACCTCCGTTTTATTCAAATCATTCCAAGTCAGACAAGAATGCTCGGAATAAAATTCCACAGAACGGCTTCTTACAAGAATAACTGACTTACTGATTGACTGGTTTCAACATAGAAATTCGCACCGATGTGCGGCAGTTCGAGTCGCCACACTCCATGTAGCACACAAAACAAGAGAAGAAAGTAAAAAGAAATGAAAAATAGAGACAGTTAACATAGATATGAGGCAAAAAGACTAGTAGTATCGAAGAACAATATAGTTTTACTTGGTATCATAAGTCATAAGGATTGGATGCATCTGCGCCATTGAGAACAACTTTGAGCCATTGGTTTTTAAGGTTCCGAGGAGGCCAACCAGTCAGGAAGTCTACACCTTCCTACGTGACTGGCTTAAACTAACTGTTGTGGATTTCATTGACTGGTGAAATAACGTTTTAGGTTGAACACCACCGGCTCTTTTCAAACCTGACCCTATGTCAGCTGACTAACATTGATCGTCGAGGGAGGCGATGGCTAGGCATAAGTAACAAATGTCCTATCCATTTCAATCGATGTAACTTTGCAGACTCGTCGATTGATTTACCCTCCTCACCTAGCACTCGACCGACGCCTAACCTCAATACTGCTCACCTTGTTATACAACTTAACATGGGAGATAGAACGCAGACACCTATGATCAATGACAGCTAGCCTTTTCATGTCTTTCACTTTCAGTTGCCAAGTCTCGCAGCCATAAAGGAGGACGGAGCGGACTGCTGAGCAGTACACACACCCTTTGGTGAATAGCCAGTCGGATATCACGTCTACTCCAGAGACGGCGTAAACTGGCATATACGAAATGAGCCTTCTGTATCCGTGCTGAGATTTCGTCAGTGATAAACCCACTGGGACTGGCTGATGCAACTTCCCAAATAAGTGAAGTGGTCAACACGCTCAGCCACCACTTCACTCCCTGTTTCTAACCTGGGAGTCAGTGTAGTCCAGTCCTGTAGCATCACCTTAAATTTGGTGGGAGCGAATCGCGTGCCAAACATTCGCAGATTACAACTCAAGATGTTCAGAAGACTCTGCAATAACACTCGTATTATTGCCACCAGTCAAATCAGAAGGGGATAATAAATAATCTTAAAATTCTATTTCCATTCAAACACATCAACACATTCTAACAATCAACTTATTATGACTATAAAAACACTCGTCGTATTTCCCATCTAATTGCAATGGATTAATAACACTCGTACTATTATTTCTGAATGTACATTATCTCATATTGAATTTTATTCCAATATCTAGTCGATTCCACACATGTATATAAATGAAGGAAAGAAGTTGTGTGAGTAACTTGATATGATTATGAGCAATAGTTTGTGCTCGAAACGTCATCAGTTAATATAACTGTACTATACTGAGTGATTTATCAAAATAAAATCTTATCCATTATGGGATTATACTCTACCACAGTGCCCAAGTTTTATACTTATATCGACTCTGCATTTTGTCAGCATCTTCGCCTAGGAGGACTATATTATCTGCATATTTTAAGTCGACGAGATTATTCCCTGGTAGCAAGTCAATCCTTGAGTCGCTGAAGTTAGCAGTTAGGGTTAATTCCATTAGTACATCTATGATGAAGTTGAATAGAAATGGGGATAATGGGCATCCTTGATGGACGCCACTAGTCGTCACCACTTCAGATGACAACTCGCCGTAAGCCCTCACCTAGCTGCATGAGTATGAGTATAGTGCCTTGATCAGTGCAATGTATTTTCTCGGCATTCCCTTCACAGCCAAACATCATAGTACCTCTCGATCGACAGAATCGAATGCCGCCCTTAGGTTAAGAAATATAACGATTGTTGGACGCCGGAAAGTATGCCACCTTTGTTCCAGGATCTGTCGGAGGGTGAAGATATGATCAATACACCCTCTTTCTGATCTAAAGCCTGCCTGGTTCTCTCGTGTTTGTTACTCCCGTGGACCGCTTAGTCTGCGCATGATTACTGAGCCTAGAACTTTAGATAATATATTAGTCAAGTTAATCCCCCTGTCATTTCCACGGGAAGACTTGACTTACACTAACCCGATGGGACTTCCTTTGATTTCTAGACACTGCCTATTACCTCAGTTAACGCAGACAGTAAACTGTCTCCACCATACTTAAATACCTCTGGAGTCATTCCATCAGGTCTCGCATCTTGCCTCGTTTCGGACTAGTGACAGCCTTAGTAACATCAGTTAGAGACGGAGGACCTGTGTCTATATTCCATTCAGGGAGGTGTTTGCTTTTCGCAGCAAATTAGACGGTTTCTGGTAGAAGTCATTAGACCTGCAATCTGTTGGGGCGTAAGCGGAGACTACGAAAAGACAACGACGGGTAACGCCGTCCTTCCTTCCTCTAACGGACCCGTTCAGACGGACCTCACACATACAAATATCTACTGGGATCCAGTCAAGAAGTGATTTTTCTGCCCTAACACTCAATGCTATCCCTACACCTACGAGTCCTGGTAAACTAGCTAAGGGGTCTCCTGAAGTGAAGATGACTCACTAGCCTGAAGAATAATACTAACTGTAGTAGGGGAATAAGATGATGGTGATGTGGGTACAGGAGAATGATGCTTGGGTAGGCTTCGTGTGCTCTTGGAAGTGTGTGGGCGGTTGTTACTTCCCGGTTGCCCACACTTGAAACAGAAAGAGGGTTAGTATTGAGTGACCGCAGAACCCAGAAGAACAACTGCTTGAGGCCGGTCACACACGGCCTGTGTGAACTGGTTTCTGGGATTGGTTCCGTATTAGTAAACTTACCGCCGGTTACGGACCACTGTAGGGTAAGTCGGGATGTACAATTTTCGGGGTCGACTTTTTCTAACCCCCTCCCTCCAGAGTGGAAAGACAGCATAGCTGGTATGCTGGTCACCTGAGGGAAACATCTTACTGCTGTTACATTCCTGTTTCCCAGCAGTACGACTTCGCCCACAGACCCCCAGCGTAGTGTAAGAGAATTGTCACACTATGCCGGTAACTGCTTTTAGTCTAATCGCTATCCTAACAACTTTTCTGGCATAGTACAATCTGCAGGAACAATAGTTCCAACAAGTGTAGCTAGTTGGCTTATTGCGATATGCAAGCCCGACCACCACGTCAAGGTAGTAGCTATCGGTCGGGATACAGAAATAACACATTATGAAGTAGGATATCATTTGATAACGGATTACTACTTAGTTAGCAACGTTTTAAACAAAACTAATAAGTCATACATTTGGCTCCCTTGATAAATTCCGATAAAGAAAGGAAAACGAAATTTGCAGTATAAAATGAAATATATAAAAATAAAATATATACTGCTTCAGCGACCTGACAAAAAAACAGTAGTTTGACGTGATGGGAGCAATGTGCGTGCCCGCAATGAGTAATGAGCCAAAATAGGATTAAAGCCCTTTGATGTAATTCTAAGCATATAACTAGTGAATAAAATAATCCTGAGGTAAGCATCAAGTAATCAGTGCTGCAGGAAAAGGATGACTGAAGTAAAAACAGACACAGAAAAGCACAACTCTTGTGTGAAGAAACTGTGTACTGTAATGGACAATACTCAGATGACCAAAATCCTTTAATTCCAGTTAGAATTTGCACACACATGGGTACTACGTTGTATTCAAAACTACTTATGGCAATTTAATAGGTCATGCTTCACGTTGTTTCGAAGATTAGTGGAATAATACTGGTACACAACTCGCTGGTGACAAATTCTGACAGTTTGAGCGAATTCATGTTTGCCTTAAAAAATAAACATGCCTAAAGTTGAAATTCTAAAACTGATGGGTGGATTGCATTATCATTTACCACACACAGCTAGCGTGATTACTACTTACCAGGCAACATGTGACATTGCATAGTTCTCAAAAAGGTTGCAATCAGACCAATATTCTGATACTGGTATTAAAATCATCAGGGTCCTGAAAGTGTTAGTATACAATTCTCATTTCTGCTTCCTAACTAGCGGTCCTTAATTGAAAATCAAAGTATTAACTTATCTTCTAGGTCCTTAATCTTGTTAATCCCTTCCCAAGCTCTGTAAAAATGTATAAGGGTGAGTTATTACGTCATTGATTGTTAATAAATGCTTCAAATAAACGCATTCTTTCCAGAAAGGAACGTGGCAACTCGAACTGCTGCACTTCGGTGCCAAGTTCTATGTTGAATCCAGACAGACAGACAGACATTCTTTCCAGAAACAGTCGTAAACAACTGTAGCCTGGGACAAATTGAGATGATAAGTCATTTAACATGTCTTGGCTGTGAAAGTGGCACCAACTCACAGTTCGTACCATAATATCTTAATTACCAAGGACTAAATTGAGGTAAAATATAGCTTTGTACAAACTGTTTCACTCCGAACACAGACCATCATAAAGGCGAGTACTCCAAGAAGTGAAAACAAAACAATTTTTAAGAAATATACAGGAAATAAAGGAATAACGATAGGATACGATGCTTACATCAACTCTACTGGATGATTCTTCGTCCACTAGTGATTTGAGGATGTTTTTGTTTTCTGGATCAGCTAGTGGGCAACGAATTTGTGTTACATCATTTGACGCCACAGTAATTTGAACATATGGATTCAAAGCAGATAGTTGACCGAGGCTTGCTTGGGCCCTAAAAAACAGAGGAAACAAAATATATTGTTATAAAACTGCTGGTGTAGTTTATGTAAAACCAAAAGCCATTTCTCACAACAAATGGGATTAACCAACTGCAGTAAACTAATTCGATTTATAGAGAGACGCAGTTAACTGCTCCAGTCAGTAGCAAGACAAATAGTAAACACAGGATAAGAAATAAAATATTGAATAACAATATCTGGCAGGCGGTATTAATATCATTTTGCATGACTTCCATACGACAATTTTTTGTAAAATCGTATGTAGTTCATACTACCTACAAGAATACAGAACAGAACAAAGGTGTTCCCACAAAGCGGACGAAATTGGGGACACTGGTAGTAAGAAATAATTAATAATGACCTTAGTCACGTGTGCTTAAAACAAGCAATATAAAAATAAGGCAAAATTTGAAAAATATGTGCAGTGACGCCACAGTACGACAAACAAAAGAAAAAAGAGTAATGTCTACCTGGAGTATTTTGTATTTACCTAGTTTTTGCAGCAACTACATCTGACTCTTGAACGTAAAATTGAGTTCCTAAGTCCTCCTGAGTGCAAAAGGAGTGGTCCTGGATTACAATTTCGCCAATTCCAGCAAGTATTAAATTTTTGGCTTTGGCCACCAATTATATTTAGGAAGATTTACCTATTTCTATACCAACACCTCCAAGTCCATGCAAAAATACTCTGGATTTTGACATTTTCTGCATAGCATTATCACCTAGGACACATCTTTGGCGACTGAAACAGGGAATAATAAATTTAGAAGACTGAACCTGTAAAGGGAATCATCTATCTCATCTCGCATTGTGATAACGCACACTAGAAACACGTCGTCAAGGTCAAGTAACTTTCGGAACAGCAGTTTTTGGAAAATGCACTTATGACCTTCAGCGTTTCAATATCCAATGCCATTGTTGCGAGCTAGTATAAACCAATTTGATTTCTTTGTGCTCGCTTCTTCATTGCGAGGTTAGCGTTCCTGGTATTCGGTAAAATTCTGTGTAGTTGGCCCCGCCTCTTGGCTGTTGTAGCTTCGGTTGACTCCTAAAGGAGTTGTGCTGGGATTAATTATATTCTGTTTGTAGTATGCGGTGTGTTGAGACTTTGTTACTACTGTGAATTGAATTGATCCTTTCACCAGTTAGTCCTCCGTTATCGTCGTCAAAAGAAAAGTGATAGTAGTAATAATAGCACATAATTATTGTAGGTTATTCATACTAAAAGACAGACAAAGATATAGGGAAAACGTAAAACAGACAACCAATTAAATCTGAAGTTGATATATATATACATTTCCAAATTTATGCATATTATATCAGTAATAATAATAAGCGTAAGTATGGTAGGATTTGTCAGAAGAGTAAAACGACGAATTTAGTTGTCTACCGATGAATGGTGCATGGATTTTTAAGAGAATAGGCCACTTGGACGCAGTCCTTGTGTCATTGCATGATTGTCCAGCCTTAGATGGCTCCGTAGCTACACCTGCTGGTAAGGAGTTCCAGGGATTGCCAATCCTCAGTAAAAAGAAGTGGGAGCGCACCTGGGTCCTTGACATCTGGTGGGCCATCCTTTGTGGATTCCCACGAGGAGACCCATATGTACCTATTGGCAGAACACATTTGTTTTGAGTGATTCTGATCATCTGTAATCATATAGGCAGTAATCAAGTCCCCCCTAAGCCAACGATAGCTAATTGTGAATAGGCCTAATTTTTTTAGCTTTTCATCATACGGTTTATTTCGGAGACCAACCACTCGTTTTGTTGCCCTACTTTGGACTCTTTCCAAAAGGTCTGTGTCTCTCCCAAGCAGCAGGTGGTGCAATGATATTATGCACTTCAAAGTGTGGTCTGACATATGTTTTGTAGAAACTTAGAAAGAGCTCATGAGTGAGTGTGCCTAACTGTCTATGTGAAAAGTGTATGACCACATATGCCCTCGCTACATCCCCAGTGTAATTTACGCTTGTGTCCATTTTTTCTGTTAGAACTAGACATAACTCACGCTCCGACGTCGTTCAGGACAAGCTTTCGTTGCACGGGGTGTGACTTGCATTCTGCAGCCTACAAGTGCGTGATTTCACAACTTTGTACTCTTTAGGTTGAAGGTCATACCATTGGCCACCGCCTAGTCTCCCATAAGCTTTAGGTCTGCCTGCAGCCTATCTGAGTCTTCCGAATACTTTATTTCCCTCCATATCTTTACGTTGTCAGCGTATAGAAGAGTTGGGCAGCCTGGACGGCATGGTAGTTAACTGATAAAAATCAAAGACATCAGTGGTCCCAGGATAGAACCCTGAGACACTCCTGACGACGAGCCGTGACAATATGATCGGACTCGGTTGACCTTAGTGCAAAATTTCCTTTCAGCTAAGTAGTCCCTCAACCATGACAGAAGCGGTTCACCTATACCTGCCTAACTTATTTTGTGTAGGAGAAGGCCATGGTGAACTGTGTCAAACGCTTTTTCAAGGTCCAGGAGGACCACCTGGACTGAGACATTCATATCCCAGCATGATATCCAGTCGTCCCAAGCTGATAGTAGGTTTGTTACACAGGATCTACATTTCCTGAAACTATGTTGCGCTTCATGTTGTCTATTAGTCTATTAGTTTCAAAACACATGGCCTGATGTTGTCACAACCTGGGAACTTTCCAGATGTGAGTCTCTGTAGGTTCCCTAGTACTATTGCCATCAGCTTTTCTTCCGAGGAAATAGTAGTTTCGACGTTTCGGTCCGTATTAGTAATACCCGCATTTCTGTTTAGCTGTTTAGAGGAGGCTAAACTGAGTGTTTCAGCCATCTCCAGACTAGTGAGGTATTGACCGTTTGAGCCTACTAAGGCGCATGCCCCCTGGTTGGTTGGTTTTCTTTCCGAAATGAATCGATAAAGGGATTCGACCGACTGACCTAGGACTTAGATTCGGTTTTCGGCTGCTCGTTCTCTTTTTTAGGGTCAGTCACTTTGGACTTCACCAGGTTCTGACTAGTCTTTTCTAAGTTACCATGTCTGCTTGTGAATGCAAGAGGTGATTCGGCAATTCCATCATGAGCTCATGAGAAATCTAAGACTATTCCATTCCTCACAAGTCAAAAGTTTGAGGCACTCCAGTAGTTCGGATTTCGGAAGGATATCCACCGTTAGCTTATTCCCAGCAGGGAGAAAAATGTGCATTTAGTGAGATCAGTGCGTATCTGTCTGTAGTGGTGTGAAGGACATACCCTGGACATTTGAGTTGCGTAAACACTTTGAGAGGCTGAGGGTACTGACTTTCACGGATAGTAAGAAGTATACTCACGAAAAATCTAAAACCCTCAATTTCTGTAGTATTCGTTCCGCGCAGACCAAAGGCAAAGCAAACCACCGGAATTGATCATCTAAATTAGGAATTATATTTCGGGATTAAATCGGAGCGCGAGGTGATTGCTGAACTAGCTAGGGATCGTGCACGAACGAACAAACGTAACATGATGGCGTACCAAATGGCGTGGATGCTTGACCGTAAGCCTTCATCCAAACAGATCGACTTAAACAGTGACGGTCAGCATCCAATTTTCAGTAGTGAATGTTTTGGCCAATAATTCTGGATAATTACCTACCGCTACGCACTTTTAACTACCTACTTCCAATGAAATATCGAGAATGTTTGATGCGGGTGTAAATTTCTTTTAATTCATACTTTGTTATATGTCTCATCAGATAACCTCTTAGAGAAGAAGGCAAGGAATATTCATGTGTCAGCCATTAGCTATTGCAGCACAGCTAAAATAGCAGTATTAGGAGCATTAACACATGTATTGAGAGGATACCTGATGGCCTCGAGCAATGACGCAATGGTGACTGCTACAGCTTCTAAAGCTTCAAGAGTAAATTTTACATTTTCATCAATTTTCAATACAACTTGAAAGTGTCAAGACTACGGACTGTCGACTGGTCTGACTACTCCAATCACTACCATGTAGTCATACTTGGCCCTGATGATTTGCATATCTTCTCAGTGATAACTGCCGTGACAAGCTTTTTTGTTGTACGATGAGAGACGCAGAAGATCACCCAAGCTAAGCCATTAAGATTTTGAACATCTCTGGAAATAATAGAAGACAACCAGATGAACACCGAGCTTGTGGCTATCATGATGCCACCAATGGCAACTAAGGCTCTGATGCAACGGGAGGCTACCTCACACAGGATAATGACCGCCAGATTCAACTCAAAAGGGAGGAAAGTGTCAGTTATACAATGCTATACACCCACAAACAACGCAGACCTCGAAAAGAAAGAAGACTTCAACAAGCAACAACAGGCAACAATGCACAATACTCCAGTCGGCGACATTAAAATACTAATTTGTAGACATGAACGCCAAGCTGGGACCAGACGATACAGGAAGAGAAATCATTATGGGCCGAGAAGTAGTCGGAGAGATGAATAAAATGGAGAACTATCAGCAGACGTCTGTGCCCTCAGTGAACTAGTGACTGGTGGCAGCGTATACAAACACAAGGATATCCACAAGGCTACATGGGTGTCACCAGATGGGCGAACCAAAAACCAAACTGACTTCATCTCAATCTCAAGGAAGTGGACACGCAGCTTACTGGCCAGACGTTGGCTCAGACCACTATCTCGTACAAGAAATATTAAAAATCAAATTAAAAACTTTCTAGGGAACAGGAGCTGCAGATAGACCTCAAGCCAAGTTCAACACTCAAAAACTGAAGGACCAGGACACAAAGGACATCTTCACTGCAAGCATAAAAGACAAAGCCGAGACACAAATCAACACCGGCGAAGAGGTCGGCGTCGAAAAGCACTGGAACAACTTGAAGACAGTGTGGAGTCAAACCTGTATGGAAGTTCTAGACAGAAAGAAGAGACAGGACAAACAGTGGCTCACTACGGACACTTGGAGACTAATAGAAGAGAGAAGGATGTTGAAACAAAAGATTCTCCGGTGCACCGACGAGCAACAAAACCAGGATTTGAATGCAAGCTACAAGACACTGAACAAAAGAGTTAAGAAGAGTGCCAGGGACGACAAAAGAAAATATCATGAAGCTGTGGCAAATGAATTAGAGTAAGCTGCAGGAGACGTCGCAACACTCTACCAAACAACTAGGTACCTATGGCGTAAGAGATCAACACAAGTTGAGCCAGTGAGGGATGACAATGGAAAGCCAGCCACCAAAGACGTGGAGCAAAGGAAACACTGGGTTGAACACTTCAAGAGACTTCTAAATCGACTGCCACCTACAACCCGCCCAATAATACCAATAGCGGAAGCAGAACTACCAGTAGACGCCAGCTCTCCGACGAGAACAGAAATCCGGAAGGCAATCAAGATGCTAAAAGCTGGAAAAGCATCAGGACCAGATGGAATCCCAGCAGAAGCATTGAAAATGGACCCCGAGACGTCAGTGGACTTGATGACACCACTAATGCAGAAGGTGTGGAAAGAAGGCAAGGTACCCGAGGATTGGAAGAAACGATACTTATTCAAACTGCCAAAGAAAGGAAACTTAAGTCAATGCAAGAACTGGCGCGAAATTATGCTCCTGTCCATCCCAAGCAAAATACTAAGCCGCATCATCCTGGAGAGAATCAAACATGCCGTAGGTGAAAAGCTTCGACCAGTACAGGCTGGATTCAGGAGAAACAAGTCATGTATTGATCAGATCGCCACATTACGGATCATCAATGAACAAAGCTTGGAATGGCAGTCACCTCTCTACCTCACTCAACTTCATCGACTTTGAAAAGGCCTTCAACAGACAACATCGATCGAGAGGTGATTCGCAAACT